TGGGCCATTCATTGTTTTAAAAGTAAGTTTCTTATAAGTAGCATTTTCCTGAGTCAGTTTTTTTCTTAATCTATTCTGACAATGTTGTCTTTTATTGGTGGTGGTAATTTTATTTCAGTGTAAGTTTTAATTATTTACATTAAATAATTATTACAGTATGGTTATTTGAATTGTAATATGTAAATATAATTATTGATATTTGTTATTATAACCTAAATGTGATTGTATTAATTGTAATGCTTGGATTTAGTTTACCATTTTATTATTTGGTTTTTGTTTTTTGTGTTTCCCATTCCTTGATTTCCTAGTTTCTGCTTGTTATGGATTGTTTAAATGTTTTTAGAATATATTTATTGAGTTCTTTGTTATATCTTTTTGTGTAGGGTTTTTAATAGTTTCTTTGGGGATTGCAGTATACATAGTTTTCACAGTCTGCTTAAACATAATCCTTTATCACTTCAAGTGGAAGGTAGTGACCTTACCACTACATAGTCCATTTACCTTGCCATTTACTTGTTGTTAGTTGTCAACTACATATGTTAAAAAAAAAATCAATTTTAAATTTTGCTTTCAACTGTTATATGTGAAGAATTTAAGAGAAGAAAAAATTGTCTATTTTATTTAAAGCAGATATTTGCTGTATCTCTTCCTTCATTCCTGAAATTCAGTGTTCATTTCTGTTATTTCACTAGTGTCTCAAGAATTTCCTTTAGCACTTTTTTAGAGCAGTTCTGCTGTCAAAGAATTCTCTCAGTTATCCTCCATCTGAGAAATGGTTTCTTTTTCTTTTTCTTGAAATAATTTTCACTTGGTAGAGAATTCTAGGTTGATAGTTCTTTTACCACTTTAAAAATGTTTAAAAATCCACTGAGCTGCTGTAGCTCAGTGGATTGAGCACGGGCTGTGAACCAAAGTGTTGCAGGTTCGATTCCCAGTCAGGGCACATGCCTGGGTTGCAGGCCATGGCCCCCAGCAACCACACATTGATGTGTCTCTCTCTCTCTCTCTCTCTCTCTCTCTCTCTCTCTCTCTCTCTCTCTCTCTCTCTTTCTCCCTCCCTTTCCTCTCTAAAAATAAATAAATAAAATCTTTTTTAAAAAATGTTGTTTGCTTCCTGTGGCCTCCATGGTTTCTGGTGAGAAATCTGCCATCTTGGAATCCTTACACTTAACATGAGGTTGTGTGTGTCTGTGCACGTGTGGCCACTTTCAAGATACTTTTCATTACTTTTCATGTTAGCAGTTTCCTTTTAGTGTCTGAACATAGAGTTTTTTAGTTTCTTCGTATTTGAGATTCACTGAGCTGCTTGCTTGATTTTATACATTTGGTTTCATGCCGTATTTGGGGGAGCTTTTTGTCATTGTTTCTTCAAAAAAAAATTTTTTTTGCTCTGTAAATTTTTCCTTTCCTTCTAGGACTTCAGTGACCCAAATCTTAGACATTTGTTATTCCCCTATAAGTTCCTGAGACTATTTACTTTTCTCTATAAATTTTTTTCTTGGAAAATTTCTTTTCATCTATCCCCAAATTTACTGACTCATTCCTCTATCATTTTCACTGTGCTTTGTCTTTCCAATGAATTTTAACTTTGGGTTGTTATGTTTTTTAGTTCTAAAATATCCTTTTTTTTTAATCTTCTGTTTCTCTGTAGTGGCAGTCTTCTATTTGTTTCACATGTGTTTGACTTCTTGGAGCATGATTATAATAGCTTCTTTAAAACTTTTTGTTGTTGTTGTTGTGGTTATTATAATTCTAGCATCTGTGTAATCTTGTTAGGTTTAGAGGTTCGACCCCTGGTCAGGTCACATACAAGAATCAACCAATGAATGAATAAATAAATGGAACAACAAATTGCTATTCCTCTGTTTTGCTCTCTCCCTCTCTCTCAAAATCAATAAATAAAAAATTAGAAAAGTAAAGTACTTGTTGATAGGGTGGGATTTTCTGTTGTTATATTATTGTTTTCTGAGTGTCTTTTAGGTCTCTTCTCCCTCTTTTTCTCTCTCCCTGTTTTCCTTTTTTCTTAATGTAGTGGGCTTACATAGAAGGTCTTAGAGCGATAGCAGTCTGTTTTAAGCTAATAACAACTTAACTTTAATCACATACTAGAACTTTGTGCTATTAGTTCTCCCTGGCCCCATCCTTACTCCAGCACTTTTTGACTCAAATAAGTCATTTTGATTTTTTGTATATAAGTTTCTTTTCTATAAAAATAGGGATAAGCTACTCTGCTAACCCCACAGGTTCTGTGAGTATGGTATACACACCCAGAGAGAGTCCCTGAGGCTTTTTCAAGGGGGTTTGTGTGATCAAAATGATTTTCACAACAATTCTAAGATGTCTTTTTTGTGTAATCATGAGAGAAATATACAGAAGCACTTCTGCATACTGAAGTATATTACTTCTGTTGAGGAAAAGTGCATGTGTAGTCGATTGTTTTTGTGAATTCAAATACCTGCTTTTTAAATGGAATACAAGTTTTACTTGTAAGAATGACTATAGACAAACTATGGTCATGCAAACTTGGATTTTTGGCAAACATTTTCTTGGGAATGAATGATGTAAACTTGTTATTTCAACAACGGCTGACAGTATTTGTTGCTCAATGGTAAAATTTAAGCTTTTTAAGTGAACATAACAGTATTGGAACACTTGTGTTCCAGGCACTCTGTGCCTTCACAGCTTTAAAAGAGTATTCTGATGAGATCATTGGTGAAACTGAGGATGTGATTTCTTTTTCTACTCTCTATGATGCAACATAGATTTGGAAGATCTGCATAAGCCAGTAAACCAATAGTTTCCAAAATATATGGTGAAAATGTATGATGTTATAAAATCATGAGTTTGGGAGATAGACCGGTCAATTTTAATATAACAGGATATAAATTCATTGTTGTAGTTTCAGAGTCTACATTCTAACTAACCTTTAAGAAAGTACCACTTGCCAAGCTTTGGTGCAGTATCAGAGAAGACCATGTCCACAGTTATCTTAAGAAGCCGTAAAAACACTCCTTTTTTGAAGTACATATCTGAAGCCAGATTTTTTTTCTTTTTTTATTTTATTTTAATTGTTCAAGTACAATTTTCTATCTTTTACTTCCATCCCAGTCCACCAGATTTTCTTAACATATAGAAAAGAAATCCATTTTTTTCTTCACAACACTTCTGACACAAAATGTATGCTTTTCCAAGCAGTTCTCTAATTTTCTGTGGACAGTAACTGAGAATTTTCCAGTTTAATTCATTCTGATAATAACTGCCTGGACTTAGGGCAGAATCCACAGGTTAAGGGCTCAGTCTCACAAGACTGCTCCCACCACTACTTCAGATGCCAGTTGTCAGTCCACTTACAACTGCTTATCCAGATACACAACACATTGTCACCTATACTTCTGGCCAACCAGATATAAATTGGGGATTTTTACAACACCTTCCTCTTGTTCAATAATTTTCTATAATGGCTCACAGAACTTAGGGAAACACTTTTGTTTACTGGTTTATATTAAAAGATAATAGAAAGTAAACAAATGAACAGCCAGAAGAAGAGGGACATAGGGCAAGGTCCAAAAGGGTATCAAGTGTAGGAGCCTCTGTCTCTGGAGTTCTGGTGTGCTATCCTTTTGGCACATGGATGCATTTACCAACCTGGAAACTGAACCACTTAATTGAGGGTTTGTGTGGTTCTGGTATATGGGCATGACTAATTAAAATGTTGACCATTGGCCCTGGCTGGTGTGCCTCAGTGGATTGAACGCTGGCCTGTGAACCAAAGGATCCCCGGTTCATTTCCAAGTGAAGGCACATGTCTGTGTTGTAGGCTAGGTCCCCAGTAGGGGGTGCTGGAGAGGCAACCACATATTGATGTTTTTCTCCCTCCCCCCTCCTCTCTCTAAAAATAAATAAATAAAATCTTTAAAACTAACTTTAAACTTTAAAAAAAAGATGTTGACCACTGGTTATTAATTTATGAAACCCATCCTTTCTACCTTCCCCAGAGGTCTGGCAACCAGCTTCTTTTCTGCCAGTCACCTTGTTACCACAGACTTTTCTTTGGTTGAGAGGGGCTTATTATGAATAATAGAAGATGCTCATATTGTCCCTACCACTCAGAAAATTCCAAGGATTTTAGGAGCTCTGTGCCAAGAACCAAAATGGAAAATGTATGTACACACACACACATTTTCTGTTATATCATTATGTCACAATATCCATCAACCAAAACAAAAAAACACACCTGAGTGAATGCCAAAGCAGATGTGAAAATCCAGTAGTTTGCTATCAGGACAAGTGTAAAACAGTGCCCTCTTCTAACTAATTTTTTCAATTTGGAAAAGTTATTTTCCTTTAAAACAAATGTCTGTGTTAACTTCTAGCAGATTTAATATTGTTAATTGTAACTGAGCCAGTTTTCTCATTTTTAATTTCTGATATCTTAACATCTGTATATAGAACACACATAAACAAAAATTGAGGTCCTCAATTTTTAAGATATCAAAGTCCTGAGAATACAAAGTTTGAGGTTCATTGTGTTAACATTCTAGGGTTTCGAAGGTCAAATGAATGTAATATTCATGAATGTGAAATCATTTTGTAACGTATGTAAAATGTAGATTTATAGATAATTTTTGATCTCCTCCCTTTATATTGCTGAGCAAGTCCTTCAAGTTCAGACTTTGAAGAGGAGACTGGAAAGAGAGCATGCAGGTGTCATTGCTCTTACAGAGCTTATTAGCTTAGTAGAGGGGGAATACACATTTAATTCCTCTGCTCCACAAATCAAACTGTAAACAGTGATATTATGATGAGATTTGTTTTATCCTAAATACATTTTCTTGTGTATTTGTACTTGTAGTGCACATACAGGTACACACACTTATGTGTATGTGCACATGCACGTGTGTTTAGGCTCACAGCAGACTAAGCCCTGCTATTCATGAATATAATCCATTGCTAGTTCAGTTTGTGTTGAGTTTTGAAGTTTTCCCCTTCTTCCTTTACAGGTATAGAACAAGATGCAGTGAATACTTTTACCAAATATATATCTCCAGATGCTGCTAAACCAATACCAATTACAGAAGCAATGAGAAACGATATCATAGGTAAGCAGTGCTTGAAGCTATGGCAAAAAAAAAAAAAGCGCCTATTTTTCATTATAAAAAGTTCTCTTTATCAACATGGAATCCTAGCTTGTTTTCAGGTATCTTTTTTTCCCCCAGGTGTAATAAAGTATGTTTATTTTAAAGATAACTTATAGGCTCTTAAACACAGTTCTGTGTCCTTTCCAATTACTGCCATGCAATCTGACATTGCTTCCTTTTAGAGAAACATTAATCTTTTTCTTTGCATTCTTAAACCATTTTTATTTTTTAATTACAGTTGACATACATCGTTATATTAGATTTAGGTGTTCACCCCAGTAATTAGACATAACTTATTAAGAGATCATACCCATCTGATACAATACATAGTTATTACAACACTATTGACTATATTCTGTATGCTGTATTTTGCATCACATGACAATTCTGTAACTACCAATCTGTACTACTTTATCCCTTCACCTTTTTCACATACCTACCCCTCACCCTGTCTCCCATCTGTTTTCAGATATCTGTAACTCATTTACAGACTTACTCTCTTATATGTTAGGCCCAAATTCTTAGACTTTGACTTGGATAAAAACAACAGCTAGAACAATAATATCACACATTTGAGTACTTACTGGGTCCCAGACAACATTCTAAGTACTCCATGGGTAAACTCATTTAATCTTCTAAAGAACCTTGCAGCATAAATATAGTTATTATTTTATAAATGAGGGAACTGAGGCACAGAGAGTAAGTAATTTTCCCAACATAACACAGCTCAGACGTGGCAGAATCAGGATTTGAACCAGACCTGTACACATTAACCAATATGCTATCAGCAGTGTTTTTTAAACTACATGGAGAACAATCTCTGTGTCCTCATCCCACTGCCAAAAAACAATAGACTAGAAAATCAAAGTGCTTCACAGTAGTAAAGGCAAAGAAACATAATTTCAGGAAGTTGTTTCCATTTTATATACATATATGTATGTGTATGCTGAGCCATATAAGTATGTTTCTTTGTAAATCACAAAAAATTTAAGAAAGCTTTTACTGTATTGCCTCAGCAAGGCCTTATGTGCACCTGTAATCACAGATAAAAATGGTTCATTTATTCATTGAACAGCTATTTCCATCAAGTTCTAATAGTAAGTTCTGTGTTTTTGTTACAATAAATTAGTATTTTTTATTTATGAAATATAACATGTTATTCAGCTCTTAGCAGATTCTTCCCAACGTGAGGCTCTTTCAGTCTTTACTGTAGGTCCTTTGCACTCACTCATTATTGGAGGCAGCAAAACCTCCCCCAGTTTCAGCTGTGCTTCTTACAGTCGTCCCACCATACTGGCCAGGGAACAGCCATTAGCTATTTTTGGGTCCATCGGATGCTGCCCCCATTGTTTTCCTTTTCTTTCTCTGACAGACACCTGTAACACATAGGTCTTAATGGCTCTTGGCGGTTTGTCCTTATGTACCAGTATTTTGGGATTTTCACCCAGTTTTGTTGCAAAGTTGTCATGGGATTTTGGTTTTTCTATGTAGTTTGTCTGTTTTTTTTTATGGGAATTTGTTGCTACTGTCTTCAAGACTTCCCTAGACTGACTCTTTCTAATAGTACAACTGGAGTGTCTTAACTGAGACACATACAACTTGGCTGGTTAGAGAATTGGATGGCTATTGATTCCTTAGGATGCTTGTACCAATTGATAACCAAGCTGGGGTAGGGGAGAAACGGAAGACGTTTTGAGCCAAATAGAACATTTGAAAATGAAAACTGTCATTATAATTCTAATTTTTCTTTTCTTAAACCTTATCAAATTAATGACGTAATCTCATGAGGAGAGAAATCTTCTGAAGGGTCAAGATGACAACATCTAGTGATTGAGGGGTCTGAGAAAGTTTCCATCCAGTGCCTATTATTATGCATTTTAAAAGTTTAATTACCTATATATCTTTAGAGCAGTCACTTTTCCTTTTTTAAACTCATTCTTCTAAATCCTGCCCTAATTATTGGTCTCTTTAGTTGGCATATTTTAGTACAGCTGTACTTTAAGTAAGTTATTATTTGAAGTCTACACTTAAGCTATTGTTATTGTGTCCCACCTGTGTAGTTTTATTGTAAATGTTATCCATGGGATTTTCGTGTTTCTGTCTAATTACTTAGTTTTTCTGTGGGGTTTCAGACTGACCCAAAGTCTGTTCCACAGCATCCTCCATTTTCTACAAATCCTTGAAGTGGCGGGATATTAAAAATACTTTGAAAGTACAGCTGACAGAATTTGCTTTTGGTTTGAAAGTGAGTGGTGTGAGAGGGAGAAAGGACTCCAGCATGACTCAATAGCTGAGAGGAGTTACCATTTACAAGATGAGGAGGAGAGTGGGTGTTATAGGTTGTGGGGAAAGTCGGAAGTTTGGATGTTCGATATCCAAATTATGAATGTCAGGTAGGAGTTTGTACATCTGTGTGAGGAGTTCATGAGAGAGGCCCAGGTTGGAGATATGTGTTTGAAAGTCATCAGCATATAGATGGGCTTAGTTATGAAACTGGATTACTGTCAAGTGTATGTGATGAATTAAGACGAGACATAAGGACTGAATTCTAGAGCAGGCCTAACATGTAGAGTCTGTCAGATAAGGAAGAACTAGCAAAGGAGAGTTAGAAGTAACAGCCAGTAATAATGTAGACCCTTCTACATCAACTGTGTATGAAGAAAGTAGTTTTTTCTGGAAGCCAAAATGTTCTGGAAACATTTTTCTGGAACTGAAAAATGTGTCTGGGGGGAAGGGAATGATTGAAGGTGTTAAGTTATACTAATAGGTTAAGTAAGATGAATAGTAGGAATGGAATGGATTTGGCAATCCTATGAGCAATCGGGCCAGTGGTCATCTTAATTAGAATGGACCTTTAGGACTAAAGCTTAATTGGAAGAGCCTTAAGAGAGGATAGGAGGAATGAAGACAGCAAGTACGGGCAGCTCTTAGGAGGCATTTTGCTCTACAGGTGAGCTGGAAAGGGATGTTACATCAAGGGACAATGGTTTTGGGGGGTTTTTTTGTTTGTTTTTTTTGTTTGTTTTTTAAGGTGACATGTTAAAAACAGATGGATGGTAGCATACAAACAAGTACACACAGTGTATTTAGCTGGTGGGAATGAGGTAATAGCAAAGAAAAATTTGATGCAGGAGAGAAGCAGGGACAGTTGTGGTAAAACAGTTATGAGAAGGCAGACAAGGATGGGGTCCAGTGCTCATATAAAGGGTTGCTCAGGCAGGTGTGAGGACCATTGACCTGCTGTAACAGGAGAGATAGGTAGAGATACAGGTGGGTTGGTAGACGTGGTGGGAAGTGATAGAAATAATTTTTGATTGCTCCTATTTTATTAGTGAAGTAGGAAGCAAAGAGAATAGAAGAGGTGTTAAAGTTTGGAGAAGATGTGCCATGTCTAGGAGAATGTAAGAGTAAATGGACTAGGAAACTGTAGTACAGGCCTTAGATGTCAGTAAGTTCCCACTGAGGTCATGGACCTAAAGTGAAACCAGCCATCATGGTTGTGTGGTTTTTTTCTAGTGATGTTTAATAGCTGAACAGCTTAATGTGCTATAGTTTATTTAGGCAATTTCTAACATTAGCACATATTATGTCTTTAAATTTCTATTGAATAACATTTTAATAAACTTTTTCCAGATGAATCTTTACACAAATCCATAATCCTTTAGGTTACAGTCCTAGAAATGAAATCACTGATGGAAAGGGTATGTTCATTTTTAAAGCTTATGAAACTGCCAAATGGCCCTCCAGAAAGATATACTAATTTATATTCCCACTATGTTAAGCATTATATTCCCATATGTTAACATATGGATTGTTAAGATACTTTTGTGCTGGTTTACTAGACAAAAGGTGGAGTGTCTTCTTATTTTAATTTGTAATTATATTTATTTGATTACTAATGAGCGTGCATATGTTTTCATATTTGCCATTTTATATTTGTTTTTTGTGAGTTGTCTTTTCATGTCCTTTTCTCTTTTATCTTTTGGGGTATTTCTTATTAGTTTGTAAGACTCTTGATATACAAAAGATAATCTGTCGTACATAGAGGAAACTGTCATACATGCCACAAATTTTTCCCCTAATTTGTTTTTGGAGTGTTTTGATGTATAGAATTAATTTTATGGTAAATCTTTTGTTGTCTGCTTTTGCATCTATATATGTTTAGAAAAACCTTCTGTACTTCAAGATCAGCTGTTCTGTATTTTCTTTTAGTTTCATTTAAAACCTCATTTATTTGTCTTTATAGTCATTTCCTATTTTGATTCATAAATTTGGGGTTTAATAGAAACTTAATTATTTATCATTTCTTTGACAGCAAAGATTTGTGGAGAAGATGGACAGGTGAATCCCAACTGTTTTGTTTCAGCACAGTCCATAGTCTTTAGTGCAATGGAGCAAGAGTAAGTTAATTTCATACTTTTACATTTTGCATTCTTTCTTGAGAGTTTGGGTTTAGTATTAGGAATGGGTTTCACTAACTGAAAACAATTTATCTTTGAGGATATAAGTATTTTGAATGTGGGAGCTCACAGGCATAACTCTAAGACTATCTTGGTTAATTTTTTATGTAAATTATGAACTCTATTAAAAATAATGTAAGTTTTCATTTGTGATGTTAATATTTCCTAAGGTAAAAGAATTTGTTTTTAATTCTGAAGTCATTTTGGTTTAATTGTAACTATTAGAATTGGTTTGTTTATTTAAACAATACATGTGTCTTTGGGTAAATATCCTAATTTGTTAGTGCATGCTGGTGAAACTGCCTCCAAAGAGCCTTTTTTTTTTTTTTTTGATTACTTACTGCTACATGCTCTTAAAAAGAATCTTCGTATTCATTCTTATATTTAACATTTGTGAAAGGGTGCTTTCTCTGTTCAAGGTCTAGTTAGATATAGTACTTACCTGGAAGGAAGTTGCAGGTTAATGAGAGAAATAGGGCATGTTCTTCTGTTACTGTAACATGAGGTAGCATGTGTTAAATATCAGAGGAAAGCTACAGAGTCACCAAGAATTGGGAAAGATACTTACAGGGAGAGGAATCAGGAACTGCCCCATGGGAAGGGAGGGGGTGTTGACCTAGGCTTTTAAGGTACAATAGGCATAGTATGGAAAGAGTGTATTTTTCCCAGTTAAGCTCTTTCCCTTGGTCCTTCCCTCAAATTGTCCCTTTTTGTCCATGTGCAGGCACTTTAGTGATTTTCTGCGAAGTCATCATTTCTGTAAATACCAGATTGAAGTGTTGACCAGTGGGACTGTTTACCTGGCTGATATTCTCTTCTGTGAGTCAGCCCTCTTTTATTTCTCTGAGGTAAAATCTGCATTTCCTTTCATATTCTGTTAGAGCATTTCAGCCTCTAAAATATAAATGCTGGTGCCCTGTCTGTAGAAAATACCATAGAAGAGACAAACCATTTTCCAATAGGTCAACTGGATTTAAATAATTTTATTATTTAAAACATACAACTACTTAAGTTGTATGTAATGGCAAGAGAACTTTAATGACATATTAGTCAGATTAAAGAGAGAACATGAGAATTTAGTATAAAATAGCTGATTTTGAAAAACCTAATTAAGAAGAAGCATATTTTTAATTATTTGGGGCTGTTTTAAAACCACAGAATTTGATACTTGATTCTAGTATGCAGATATTTGCAGACCAGACTGCAGAAGAGAAAAAGGAAAGTAGTAAATTTTTTCCTACTGTCATCACCTTTCCTTTAGTCACTTAGTGGGATTGCACAGTAAAGCGTCTGCAAAACACAGTGAGTATACTAATCTCTTTGGGGAAAACATTTTATATACCATATTTTGGTGTATAACGTGCTCCGATGTATAATGTGCACCCACACTTTTGGCTCAAACTTTCAGGGAAAAAATCTTTTGTTTTAATTTTTTAATTCAGATTTTTATTTCTTTATATTTAGATACTTGTTTTTTTGTATTAGAAAGGAATTCTAGCATTTATTATTGAGCATATTATGTAATAATAATTACAAAACACAAGAACAGATACACAAGGTATTTCAGGTAGTACTCATGCATAATGTGCATCCTCCTTTTTCCCTCAGAAATTTGGGTAAGAAGGTGCACATTATACACGGCAAAATATGGTGGTATAGCAGTATTTGTAGGCTTCAGCAAATGAAATTCTTTTGTTGCAAGTAAATGACTGTGAAGCAGAGGTAAGAGGATTCCCAGTCCCACGAAGCAGTAACTTCAATACATGCTTGCATTCTGTATCTTCACAAGAATATAGTTGAGTTTAGTTGCTTTATTTTTTCACTCCCTCTTTTTGCCACAAGTTTATGTCAGCGTTTATTCAGGTTACTATGGCTGCATAGAATGATGGAAATGATCAGGTATAAAAGGATTGGTCTGGTTACTTTATTCTTTACATGTTTGCCAGCAAGGAACCACTAATCCATCTTTACTGTAGTTTTTATTCCAGTTTACTAAAGTTTGCATCCAGCTGTGTGGTGGTTGTATTTTTATAAGATTTTTGGTGTTTTTTTCCCCCCAAAGTAGTGTTTTTAAACTTTTCGATTTCAAGTGACTGTAAATTGTGATTGGCATTAATTGAACACGAAGACCTGTTAGGTTTTTTGTTTGTTTGTTTGTTTATTTGTTTTTCTCACATCCTGTATTTTAATAGTTAGGGCTTATAAATTAGGGATGGTGAGATACATCTGAATGTAGTCTTATTTTCCTCTTTTGTATTTTTCCTTTCTAGTACATGGAAAAAGAAGATGCAGTGAATATCTTACAGTTTTGGTTGGCAGCAGATAACTTCCAGTCTCAGCTTGCTGCCAAAAAGGGCCAGTATGATGGACAGGAGGCACAGAACGATGCCATGATTTTATATGACAAGTGAGTTTTATTGCAGATGTATTCAGCATTTAGCAGATATTTACCTAGTATTTGATATGAACTTCAGAAATACAGATGAATGAATTCACTCACAGGGAGCAGCATAGAGCAGCTTTGCACATGGTGTGTGTGCTTAGAGCAAAACTTTCTGCTGGAGAAAAAGGGGAGTCTTGTATGTGGCAGGTAGAACAGTGGTGTGGAGTTTGGGGAGGGTTTCACAGAAGAAAGATTTAAGCTGGGTCCTGAAAAATGAATTGAATTCTGCTAGCCTGAGAAGGCAGAAAAGAACATTCTAGGCAGAGCACTGACAACCAAAGTCATAGAAGCTTGAGGGAATGTGGTACTTTCAAGAAACTTAAGTTTGGGTAATTGAAACTTGGGTATGTAGTATTAGAGGAAGATGTAACTAATTGGAACAGGTTATAAAGGGTTGTCAATGAATATATATGGCATGTTGTGTTTTCTGGTGCAGATCTGCTAAGCCAGCTTAAGTATTCGGTGAACGATTAGTTTTCACTGGAAAGGAGAGTGCAGTGCAATCTTATAGTGAACAGAACTGAAAATATCAGGCAAGTGGTAAAGCTGAGGCCAACTTCACTTAACTTCTCTTATTTTGTGAAGAAAAGTAATGTTATTTGTATCTACAAACAAGTGCTAAGGGGACAGCTTCAGGGAAGAGAAGAACCCTTGGATGTTAGGGTTGGAAGAAAGCAGAGAGCCTCCAGATCAGTGATTGCCGAGCGTGGCTCTACAGGCGGGGCTAGCTGTCCACCTGAGAGTCAGGAGCAACTCTATTCAGAGTAGGTTCCAGGCCTCTCTCAGAGATGGTGATTCTGCAGGCTTGAGGTGTGGCTGGGAATCTTTATTTTTAGAAGACACCCCAGATGATTGTGGTGAACAGCCAGATTGAGGATCTAGTCTGATTTTCCTATTTTGCAGATGAGAAAACTAAGGCTCAGAGAGGTAGTGACTTTCTCAAAGTTACAGAGCAAGTTAGTGGCAGCACTTGGACTGGAATGCAATTCTTCATGTTTGTCTAGTGTTTATTGTATATTTGTGGAAAATATTATGTAAGAAACATTGTTATATGGTCATTGAAATAGAAGGTATTTAGACATTTAGAGATTTAGTCTGGGGTGCCCAGAAATTCAAATCATGAAGGAATATTTATGAACTTATTTGTTACAAGATGGAAGATTCACTTTTTGCTAAGAAAACACTGATAAGAAAAAACAAGAGTTTTCTTTCTGCCTTAACAGAAGATTGGCACTAGCAAGGTCCTGGCTGGAACTCAGTCACCACACAGGGCACAGGCGCTGTTTCCCCAGTGCTCCCATGTCCATGCGGGGAGCCATTTCTCAGTGAAGTTTACTATTAGGGTCCCTCACCCATTAGGGTCCCTTACCCACCTGTCGGCATCATCACGATCGCGCCTCGTCCACCTTCCTGTATGTGTATCACAGAGTTAGAAGCCACTAGAATGCTTGGTAGAGACCATAAACATGTTTTTATCCTTGAATACTTTTTTCTTTTTAGTATCCACTTTACAATCAGCTTACCAAAACACTAATTGCATTGTATCCTATTAAGTTAAAAATCTTTAAGTTATCATCGATTACTCCTTTTCCTTTAATACCAGTCATCAGCAAGTCCTATTATTCTATCCAAATACATCAAATCCATCCACTTCACCCTCAGTATGATTTTGTTTTGAATTTTTACATGTATGTTTTGTGTGCCTCATAGTTGTAACAGTGTGTTCTCATCAAATCCTGTGCAGGAATTTTTTTCTGTTCTGTTTCCAGGGGAAATGACTGTGTCTTACCCTCGTTCAAATCCATTGCTTTCTACCAAGTGCTAAACAGAGAATAGATTCCCATTAAATATGTGTGATTGATCAATTTATTTGCATGGTTGTAGCTTGACCCTAGAAAATCTTAAATGAGAGCTAAGTGTGCGGGAAGGCAGACAGGGGTAGCAAGTAGGCTTGGCTGTCTTTGGCATAATGGGAATAGAGGCTGCAGCCAGGCTGTCAGCACGCAGCTCTGTAGTCCAGGTCTTCAGGCCGAATCAGATACCCCCAGAGAAGGGTTTCCAGCATAGATGCCAGATGTTGTGTGGATTTGCTGCGGAGTTTGTTTCACTTTGGCTGTCTTTCTACCATAGGTACTTCTCCCTGCAGGCCACACATCCTCTTGGATTCGATGACGCTGTGAGATTAGAAATTGAATCTAATATCTGCAGGGAAGGTGGGCCGCTCCCTAACTGTTTTACAACTCCATTACGTCAGGCCTGGACAACCATGGAGAAGGTAACCAAGAACTTTGAAAGTGTTAAACTGTAAGATTTACTGTTAGAACCAAGAAAATACAAAATGAGAAAAAACAAAGCAACAGAACAGTGGAAATTTTAAGTAGCACAGTATAATGATTAAGAGCAGTCTTTGAGTCTGACTCTTAACCTTTGTGAGCTTCAGGCAGTTACTGAAATTCTTTAATGCCATTTTCCTCAACTGTAAAATGGGGTGATGTGGATACTTATCTTGAAGTTATTTTGAGGATAAAAATGAGGTAAAATGTATATGCATAAAGTACTTAATAACTAGATAGCTGTATTGGGGAAGGTGAGCTTAGGAATGATCCAGAAATTTCACCCATATTTTTCAACAGGGTTGGAGCACTAGTTTTGTGTAGTATCATGACCACTTATTAGGGTATCACTACTAGCTTATTAATAATAAAGTATTTAGAGTTTGTGGATGGTTTATTCTTTTAATGAACTAGAATGGCTTTTGCAAGTAATTGCACAGAGCCCAGGATAAGCCCATGAGATGACATCGCTGACATATGTCTTGTGTATCTAAGTGGAAAGAGTTAAGTAAGCACTGTTAGATAATACCCACATAAACACTGAACTCCAGTAATATGGAAGAGTTAAATATAAAAATCAGTCATTAAAAAGCTGGTGGTAAACTGAATAGAGTATTAGCTATTGCCCAGGGATGATAATTTTTTCATGTTTAAAATTAAAATCTTTCTGATCTTAAAGGACAAGTTCCAGGTCTGTGTCATATAAAGAATGTAAACTTCCTGGGTAATAAAGAAAATGAAAACACAGAGAAAATGAATTCTAATTATATATTTTACCAAATGTGTATATGTAAAGAACTTACACTAATTTTAAGAATCAAATAGATAAATAGGAAAGACAAAGGGAATTCCTTCACCATTTCTGTGAGTATTTCTGTGCTAGCTCTTAGTGTCAGTGATACACAAAAGAAATGTGACTTCTGCCCTCTTGGAGCTCTGTCTGACGAGGCACACATTAAACATGGGCGTAACTATGTACAGTTGCACTGAGTGCAGTGAAGGAAAGATTGGTAAGAGCAAATGTCAGTAATAAACATGAGAACTTATTCAGTATCATTCATAATTTTTAAAAAATATTTTATTTATTTATTTTTAGACAGAGGGGAAGGAAGGGAGAAAGAGAAAGAGAGAAACATCAATGTGTGGTTGCCTCTCGCACAGCCCGCATCAGGGACCTGGCGTGCAACCCAGGCATGTGCCCTGACTGGGAATCAAACCCGTGATCCTTTGGTTCACAGGCTGGTGCTCAATCCACTGAGCCACACCAGCCAGGGCATCAGTCATAATTTTTGAATGCGAATAAAAACATTCATGCATTATTAGGCATTAATTTAACAGTAATTTGAAAAACACAACCCCATGTTGGAAAGCCTGTGTCAAAACAGATCCCTTGATGTGTTGGTAGTGGGACAAAATCACAGCATCCTTCTGAAGGGTAAATTGGCCATATATTTCAAATCTAAAATGTCCATACTGTTTAACTCAGTAATCACACTCCTAGTAACTTATAATAAAGAAATCAGTTCAAAAGTAAGTCAATACATGCACAGAGACTTTAATATTTATAACAAACAAGAAAAATCTTGTTTCAATATATATCCACTGCCTAGACTATTTTCTGGTCATTAAGAGTCTAAATATCAAGTCTATGTAATAGTTTCAACAAATGGTATTTTTTGGGGGGGTACCTATAAATTGCCTGTGTATAATTTTAGTTACAATGTGAACTGTGTATAAAGGGATAATACTTGAAGTGTAAAAAGGAAAATCATTTGTGCTAGCTAATAGAAATGTAGGTAAAGTTTTGTTTTAAAATAAGATTTTGGTTGTAGTTGGTTTCATTTTTAAAATAATGTTGGTCCTCCCATTTAGGTGTTTTTGCCTGGTTTTTTGTCCAGCAACCTTTATTATAAATACTTGAATGATCTGATTCACTCAGTTCGAGGGGATGTGTTTCTGGGAGGGAATGCCTCGCTGACTGCTGCCGGCTCTGGCCCTCCTGACGACCCTCCCCAAGGCGGTGCTGACAGCTTGGCATCTCAGGTACTTGTCGATTTGCCTCTGCCTTTAGAAAGGTGTACCAATCCTTTCCTTCAAATCCAGTAACAGATCCCCTTTGTAAGTTTTAAGTTGTTGAAGAAACAAAGGAGGAATAAAATTAGCCTCTACTGTATATTCCGATCAAAGTGTTTGGGCCCTGGCTGTGCACCTCAGTTGGTCAGAGCGTCATCCCGATATATCTGGGCTATAGGTCAGGACGCACAAGCAGGAGTCAACCAATGAATGCATGAGTAAGGTGAACAAGTAATCAATGTAGTCTCTGAAGAGTGTTTTGTATACTTGGAAAATTTTAGTAACTAAATTTGGGGTGCTTTTTTATAGAATGGTTGAGCGAACTGCTAGATTTCTTAATATTGTAGTTCACTGAAGAGCTTTTGATTTTATTTTGAACTATAGTGATTATACATTTACTGTTTTTTTGAGTGCTTTCATATATCAAACTTTATTGATTCTCTCCAAAATCCCATGAAGTGGATTATCCTCAAGAGAAGAGATCTAAGGAGGTACTAAGTGAACCGATTTTATTAAAATCCTGCAGTAAGTGCTAGGACCAGAACACTCTTCCCTATCTGGTGTTCTTCACCATAAGTTTAATAATATAACATGATTGTTTCATCATCTATTGACAAATAAATAACACTTTGGATTTTGGACACTAGGCCTTGGACAAATTTTCTTAATTTATAAGACAGTACTATTTTATTGCTGTCAGTAAGGCTCTTGGTACATTTTCCCTCTCTGGAGGTTACATAGGTAACCTGCTGGATGTGGTTGCCATTTTGTTTCTTTTATATAGGCTAGAATGTTTTGGGCTTTTCTAGGTATTTTAAAGATACTAATTGTAAAAAATATTTTTCCATTTTGGTTGAAGTATAATGTACATATCATAACTAAAACAGCTTGAAGACTTTCCATAAACAGAACTAACCCTTAGCCAGGATCTAGACCAAGAAACAGCTTTATAAGAGAGTACGTCAGAAACTCCAGGATCTAGACGAAGAAACAGCTTTATAAGAGAGTACGTCAGAAACTCTCTTGTACTCCCTTCCAGTCACTAGCCTCCCCCCCACCAGGATGGCTGCTATCTGACTTCTGATGGCATAAATCAGTGTTTTATTTGTTTTTGTCATTTTATAACTGAAAGCACACTGTATGCATTTTTTCTTTTTCTTGTACAGATTTATTGAGATACAATTCACCTACCGTACAGTTCACCCATTTACATTGTGTAATTTGATGGTGTTTAGTATATTCACAGAATTGCTTACCCGTCACCACAATCCAAAGGAACCCTGTCCTTTAGCTGTTGCCCTCCCAGTCCTCCATTCCTCTAGGCTATGCCAATCTACTTACTTCTGTCTTTGTTGAGGTGCTTACTCTGGATATTTCATATAAATGGAACCTTACCATAAGAGGTCTTTTGTGACTAGCTTCTTTTACTTAACATTTTTTCTTAGCATAATGTTTTTAGGGTTCATCTCTGTTTAGCATGTAACAGAAGTTTTATTACTTATTGTGGCTAAATAACATTCCATTGCGCAGACACACCACATTTTGTTTATCCACCAGTTGGTGGGCATTTGGGTTGTTTCTGTCTTTGGCTATTACAAATTCGTGCTGGTATGTTTTCACTTCTCTTGTGTGTTATACAATAGATAAGAATAGAATTGCTGAGTCAAATGGTAACTCTGTCTTGATTACTGTTGCTTTGTAATAACTTTTGAAATCAGGAAGTGGAAGTTTCTGAACTTAGTTCTTCTCTTTTAAGGGTGTTTTGACTATTCAGAGTCCCATGAGTTTCCATTTGAGTTTTATGATCAGCTTGTCAATTTCTATGAAGAGCCAGTCAGGATTCTGATTAAGAGTGCATTGATTCCAAAGATCAATTTGGGGGTATTGCCATCTTAACAGTATTAAATCTCCTGGTCCATAAACATGGCATGTCTTTTCATTTATTCTAGTCTTTTTTAATTTCTTTCAATAATATTTTGTAGTTTTTAAATATAAATTTTGTATTTTTAAAAATTTATTTCTAAATATTTTATTCTTTTTGATGCTATTATAAATAGAATTGTTTTCTTAATTTCACACTCAGGTTTATTATAAGTGTGTAAGAATGTCAAATAATTTTTTATTGAGGTAAAATTCACTTAACATGATAAAGTGCACAAGTGAGCGACATTTTGTATATTCCCAATTTTGTGCAGTCAGCACTGCCGTCTGCTTCCAGACTTTTTCATTGCCCTAAATGGAAACCTTGTGCCAATTAGGCAGTCACTCCCCATGGCCACCTGTTTTCTTCTAAGAGTGTTAGGCTTTTGATCCATTTTGAGTTAGTTTTGCATGTTATGTGAGGTAGAGTCCAACTTGATTCTTTCACATGTGGGTGTCTAGTTGTCCCAACACCATTAACTAAAAAAACCTCTTCTTTCACCATTGAATGTCTTGGCATCCTTGTCAAAAATCATTTTACTATAGATATATGGGTGTATTTCTGGACTGTCAGTTCTGTTCTGTCAATCTGTGCTTCTATCCTTATGTCAGTACTACATTGTTTTGAGAAGTATTTGTCCTCCAACTTTGCTTTTATCATTTGCAAAATTGTTTTGGCTGTTTTGGGTCCCTTATGATTCCTATGACTTTTAGGATCAGCTTTTCCATTTTGATCAGGATTACCTTGACTCTGTAGATCGCTTTGGAGATGTTGTCATCTTAACAATATTAAGCTGTCTAGTCCATGAACATGAGATGACGTTCTGTTTATTTAGGCTCTTTAATTTCTTTCAGCAACATTTTGTAATTTTCAGTGTATAAGTTGTATACCTTTTTTAAAAAACGCAAATTATACTTTATGTTCAATATTATTTTATATTATTTTCAAGTGTACAGCATAATGTTTAGACAATCATATGCATTACAAAGTGTTCTTCCCCAATATTTCACCTAACCCACCTGGCCCCATACATAGTTAGTGCAATATTATTAACTATATTCCCTGTGCTGTAGTTTACATCCCTGGGACTATTTTATGACTACCAATTTGTACTCCTTAATCCCCTACACCTTTTTCACCCAACAGAATTGTTTTCTTAATTTTATTTTTTTAATTGACAAACTGTTTATTTCTAGGATATATCACAATCTGCCCACCTTTTCAGTTTAAATATTCTGTAAAGTTTTTTTTAATATCAAGTCCCTGTGTAACATCAAGTTGTGATTATATTTATTTATCAGTTGCTTATTGCTGAAAGGGTTCTTAATGAAAATTTTCTTCTAGGAGTTAATAAGGACTAGGCAGTTGAAGTTATGCAGTTCAGTTCAGCTTTTGTGCTTATGTTGTTTTCCCTGAACTTGTAAATATTTTTCTTAAAACTTTTCCTCAAGCTGTCACTTGTTTTATCTTGAATTACATCAGATTCTTCCTTTCCAAAAGTGTTTTTGATTTGTGTGTCTGTTGGGGTTTTTGTTTGTTTGCTTTTGCAGTCTGGGAAAGTAAACCTTATACATCCTTCTACTCTAAAAACATACTGTATAAAACTGCCCTGACTGGTGTAGCTCAGTTAGTTGGGCGTCATCCCACAAAGTGAAAGTTCACTAATTTGATTCCTAGTCAGGGCACATGCTTGGTTTGTGGGTTCTGTCCATAGGCAACTAATTGATGTTTCTCTTTCAAATAAATGTTTCTCTCCCTTTCTTTTTCCCTCTGTTCCCTTCTCTCTAAAAATAAATACGGTAAAAAAAATCTTTTAAAAACATTGTAAAACATTGATTTTATATATAATTAATCTCATTTTTTGATTCATCATTGATAATGCATAAAAATGTAACCACTTTTTGTGTGTGATCTGCCTTCAACATTACTAAATCCATGTTAGCTTTAATAGTTTTCTTGTGGATTATTTAGATTTTCTGTGTATAAGATCATGTTATTTGTGAATAGATAGTTTTCTTTTCTTCCTGTCCGCTTTGGATGCCTCTTACTTCCTTTTCTTGCCTAATTGTTCTGTCTAGTACTTCTAGTACATTGTTGAATAGAAGTGCTAAAAGTGGGCATCTTTGTCTTGTTCCTCATCTCAGGGGGAAATCTTTCAGTTTTTCATCATTTAGGAATTATTAAGTGTGAGTATTTTATAAACACTCTTTATGAAGTGGAGGAACTTCCCTAGTATTCCTAATTTGTTGAATGTTTTTTATCAAGAAAATGTGTTGGGTTTTGTCAAATACTCTTTCTTTATCACTTGAAATGATTATTTACACAAACTTTTGGCTTTTGCCCTTGATATAGTATATGCACTACATTAATTGATTACCAGATATTAAGCCAGCCTTGCATTCCTGGGATAAATCCCATTTGGTTGTGGTATATAATTATTTTTGTAAGTGTCTAGATTTGGCTTGCCAGTACTTTATTGAGGATTTTGCATCTATAATGAAGACAGTTTGGTCTGTGGTTTTGTTGTGCTGTCTGGTTTTGGAATCCAAATAGCAGTGGCCTCACAGAAGTGCTGCCACTTCTTTACTCTGGCACCTCTTTCTTTTTAACCATATGCCCTTCTTGCTGCATTAAGAGAACCCTCCCTCACCTTCACCCTCAAAGAATGTTCTATAAGTATCTGCACAATTATTTATTTTATTAATTTAACCTGTACTTTAGTAATGAGTATTAAGTGTGTTCCTGTCTTTCGTTATTTTAAATAATGCTGCAGTGAATAATCTTGTATGTAAGTCATTTTACAGAACTGTAAGTCTGTAATTAAATTTCTAGAAGTGGAATTTCTGGGTCAACCCATGGCTACCCATGGCTCTGTATTTCATAAAAGCATCAATGTTGACTTACTTTTTATGTGCAGGTGAGGAGTGGGGAAGTAGAAGGGTGGAGGGGACCTTAATACACTCATGTCGCTGGTCATCTTAGAAAGTTCCCTTCGGCTTGTTTTGTCATCTGGCATTCATGCTTATCTTGTGAAAGTTGGGCTTTACATTCATTAGGCATATGTATCTGTACGGATGGCAGTTTTACACACTTCCTAGTGTGTAAAACCCTAATGCTGTGAAGACACCTCATTTGTGGGAACTTCGGTTGTTAAGAAAAACAGATTTGGCATGTGAATTCATCTTGCTTTTTTCCTGTAGTTATATATTGATACATTTCAGAATCATTGTTGTTAAGCATCTCAGTAATAATGGGGTTGAATGAAAAATTAAATGTATTTGAAACACTGCAGATTTTGTAAAAATCTGTCATACGCCAAAATCAGGAGTCATTTGTTACCTAAATAATATACCACTAATTTTACAATTTCTTTTGTAGACCAATGTGAAAAAAGCTAGTGTTAAAATTCTGAAAAATTTTGATGAAGCAATAATTGTGGATGCTGCAAGTCTGGATCCAGAATCTTTGTATCAACGGACATATGCAGGGTAAGTTTGGCACGTGTCTGGAATTTTTTCAAGTATAGGGAATTTTGCATCTTTTTATATTTTAACTTAATCTATTTTAATCTACTGTTACATGCCCAGCACTTTCACAAATAGTGTACAGTAGGACATGTTTAAGAGTGAAGGCTCAGGAATGACAGCTGGGTTTTAGTCTTGGCTCAGCCAACTTACTGGCAAGTACTTCACCTCTTTATGTCTCAGTTTTTCCATCTGTAAGATAAGCATAATATTACTTCATTGGGTTGTAGAGGGGATTAAAGGAGATAACACATAAAAGCATTTAAAGTATGCCTACTATCTAGTAAGCATTCCACAAGTGTTATTACCATCATTATTCCATCACCACGAATGGGATGGATGCAATGTCTTGTTGATCTGGTACATTTGGGGCTATTTTGTCCATATTTCATTTGATCTACATGTTCATTATTTCAAAGTCCCTGTCTTAAAAGCAAAAATAAATTAAAGTACAAAGATGCTAATATCATTTATTATGGTACAAAGATGCCAATATCATTTTACTGTATAACTAACTTGTAAAAAGGAATAAAATTATTCTTTTGTATTTGAGAATGCACTTGGTTGTTTATATTGTCCTGTAACAAAAACACAGTGATTTATAGGATATGCCACTTACTAAACTTCATGAAAGATCGAATCATAAAATCACTTCCTCCTGCCTAAATAAACCTCTGTAATGGCTTGATTACTCAGCCCCAATCCCAGTCCCAGCAGTACCATAAAAAAGGGATTTCAACACGTTTAATTGCTTTTATCAGAAAGTAACAGTGATAGTTGGAAGACCAAGGAGTCTAAAAGGTGTTTTCAAGTAAGTGAAAGGTTATTTGACCACATTGTCTTTGGAAAGCACACTTGAGCTGTGTCAGCATTGCTTTCTTCTTTTAGGAAATGGCGGACTATAAGCCTAAATGAATTAATTTCCAAAGATGATATTTATTCTTAAAGAATGGCCAGTTCATTTATTTAAAACCTTAAGTATTAATTGCAACATGTTCTGTAGAGTTTTTTGTGTGTAAAATATAATTTTTTAAAAAATTTATAAATTTGGTCATAAATAGAGGTGACTTTCCCCATTTTTTAAAAGATTTTACTTACTTATTTTTAGACAGAGGGGAAAGGAAGGAGGAAGAGGGAGAAATGTGTGGTTGTCTTTCATGCACCCCCTACTGTGTACCTGGCCTATAACCTGGGCATGTGCCCTGACTGGGAATCGAATTGGCAGCTCTTTGGTTCTCAGGCTGCTGCTTAATCCACTGAGCCACACCAGCCAAAGGGATTTTTTCCCCATCTTTAAAGGTAGTTTCCAGTGTTTACTTTTATGATTTTAATATCTTCCTAAAATTTTTCTCAAGGGAAACAAATTTTTATCTGTTGGTGTAGTGGACCCATATATGAAATGACTTACCAGGAAGGCTATCTATAAAATCAGATCCACTTTGCCTGAAAGGAAATAATATATAGGCATCACAAAGTTTGTTTTTCTTTTTCTAACTGACTTTTAATTACAACTATATTAATCTCTTCCTATAAAAATTTAAACGTGTAGAAGAACTTCTGGCCAAGATGAAGGCATAGGTAGACACACTGTGCCTACTCGCACAACCAAGATAGGGACAACAATAATTTAGAAACAGAATAACAACCAGGACTGACAGAAAACTGAACTGTATGGAAGTCGGACAACCAAGGAGTTAAAATAGACTCATTCATCCAGACCTGTAGGAGGGGCGGAGTCCAGCAGCTGGGCATGGGTCTCGGTGCTGAGAGCAGAGAGCATTGAGACCAGGTTCGTGAGGCATCCAGGGCGCGCAAGACCACAGTGGGTAGACTCTGAGTGCGCAAGTGGCAGCTGGCAGACCCCAGCCAAGGGATGGCAACTGGCTTATACCCAGCAAGGCGGTGATTGTGAAGCAAGGCACTGTGCCTAACCCAGGATCACAGTGCTGGGAAATAGAGCCTTGGGGCACTGATTGAGGACACCTGTGGGGATTGAGGCACAGGGAGGGACTCCCAAACTCACAGGAGAGGTCCTTGGAGGGTCCCACAGTGTGCACGAGCCCACCCACATGGGAATTGGCACCAGAGGGGCCCAGTTTGCTCGGGGGAAGCAGTGGAAGGGACTGAGGTCCCACGGAGAGTGGAGCACGTGCCCTGTTCTGTCTTGGGCCCCACCCCCACATACAACTTCATAACCCAGCAACTGGGTTGCCCCGCCCTGGTGAACACCTAAGGCTCCACCTCTCACTACATAGCAAGTGCAGTCAGACCAAAGGGGGCGGGGGTGGGGGCGGGGGGAGATGGCTCAAACAGAATTGAAAGCCCCACAACCAGTCTTTTTAAGCAACCGAGAGACAGCCAACCTATCAGATGCACAGTTCAAAGCACTGGTGATCAGGATGCTCACAGAATTGGTTGGTTTTGGTCACAAAGTAGATGAACAAATGAAGGCTATGCTAAGTGAAATGAAGAAAAATGCACAGGGAAGCAATAGTGATGGAATGAAAGCTGGGTCTCACATCAATGGAGTGGACCAGAAGGAAGAAAGAAACATCCAATCAGAAAAGAATGAAGAAATAAGAATTCAAAAAAATGAGGAGAGGCTTAGGAACCTCCAGGACATCTTGAAACATTTCAACATCCAAATTATAGGGGTACCAGAAGGAGAAGAGGAAGAGCAACCAGTGGAAAACTTATTTGAACAAATAATAAAGGAGAACGTCCCCATTCTGGCAAGGGAAATAGACTTCCAGGAAGTCCAGGAAGCTCAGAGAGTCCCAAAGAAGTTGGACCCAAGGAGAACACACCAAGGCACATCATAATTACATTAGCCAAGGTAAAAATGAAGGAGAGAATCCTAGAAGCAGCAAGAGACAAGTAGACAGTAACCTACAAAGGAGTTCCCATCAGACTGTCAGCTGATTTCTCAAAAGAGATCTTACAGGCAAGAAGGGGCTGGAAAGAAGTATTCCAAGTCATGAAAGGCAAGGACCTACATCCAAGATTGCTCTATCCAGAAAAACTTTTCATTTAGAATGTAAGGGCAGATAAAGTACTTCTCAGATAAGGTCAAGTTAAAGGACTTCATCATCACCAAGCCCTTATTTATGAAATGTTAAAGGAACTTATCTAAGAAAAAGAAGATAAAAAAAACCTGGATAGTAAAACAACAGCAAACTCACAATTATTAACAACCACACCTAAAACAAAAACAAAAACAAACTAAGCAAACAACTAGAACAGGAACAGAACCACAGAAATGGAGATCACATGGAAGGTTAGCAACAGGGGAGTGGGAGGAGGAGGGGGGGGAAGTTATGGAGAATAAGTAGCATAGATGGTAGGTAGAAAATAGACAGGGGGAGGGCAAGAATAGTATGGGAAATATAGAAGCTAAAGAACTTCTTAGGGCACATGGACATGAACTAAAGGGAATGTGGGTGGGAGAGGGTGTGCAGGGTGGAGGGGAATGAAGGGGGGAAATGGGACAACTGTAATAGCATAATCAATAAAACATATATTTAAAAAAGAATCAAGTTCACATGAACATTTAAAACACAGTTCCATCTATGTTAAGTTAAAAAATGGACAAACATAATAAACATATTTGGAGATATATAAAAAGAAAAATTAGCCCTGGCTGGTGTAGCTCAGTGGCTTGAGTGTGGGCTGCGAACCAAAGTGTCGCAGGTTGGATTCCCAGTCAGGGCACATGTCTGGGTTGCGGGTCATGGCCCTCAGAAACCACACATTGATGTTTCTCTCTCTCTCTCTTTCTCCCTCCCTTCCCTCTCTAAAAATAAATAAATAAAATCTTTAAAAATTTTTTTAAAAAATTATAAAGAAATCTATAAAATGCCAAGAAATAATTAGTATAAAATTTAGGATAACATTACCTTTAGCTGGGAGAAGAAAGAAGCAATAAGGGAAAGGCACATAGTAAGACTTGGAGAAGGATAATGCGTTGTTTTGTGGCCTGAGTAATAAGTACATGGGTGTTTACTGTATTCTTTAAAAATAAATGTAGATGTACACTTCAAACATTAAAAAAAAAATTTAAATGTGTAGATAACACTAACGTCCCTTTGATCACACACCAGTGCATATTTTCTCCCCTTCCTGATTAGGATAATCATTGTTACAATATAGAGTATATTTTTGTTTATTTTTGTGTAATTGATATCACAATGTATTGTGCTTTGTGTGCTTTCATTCATAGTGAGTTTTGTGCATTTTTCTGTTAGTCTATATAGATTTACCTCATTTCAACTATCTGATAGTATTCCACATATAATATTAATTATAGCTATAACTATGGCAAAATATTCCATATGGCAAAATGACCACGTTGTGTCACTACTTGGTCATTTTGATATTGAGTATTTAAGTTTTCAATTTTTCACTGTTAGACAAAGCATAGCAAAGCACCTCCTTTTATATCCTCCTTTGTTTCAAGAAGCAGATTTAAAATTTTAATAGATCTTACTAATTTACCTTTAAAAGTATCTGTACATTTTACATTCTTACCAGTCATTAGTAAAGATACCAGTTTTCCCCACATCATTGTTGAATTAATATCAAACTTTTAATTTTTTTTTAAAGCAATCCTGTATTATTGCTCATGAGATGGAGCTTCGTTTGGCATCTTTGTTGGTTGTTCAGGACTTTCTTTGAATTGATTCTTCATCTCTTTTTCACATTTCTTTGTTGGGTGATTTCTGAATGACTTGTTGGAATTCTGTATGTTTTTGGATATTAATTATTGGTTAGTAATAATCTGTTAAAAATAAGACCTTTCACTGTTTTTTACCTTTTAACTTTGCTTTATATTACTTTAGCTTTTTAGCATAATTATATGTTACTCTACTTTCATAATACATTTTGTCCTACCATTTTTTCTCTTCTTTTACGAAATTATCTGGCTATTTTTGCGCTTTTTGTTTTCTGTTTGAATCTTAGAAATGTGAATTACCTGTGAACTTGCCATGTTTCATAAACCTTTTGGGGAATTTGAATGGAATTGCATTAAATTAAAGATTATTTTGCTGTTTGTGGGGAGTACTATTTAAAGTAAGCCTCACTTTGAATGATATGAGAGAGCTATAAATTGTATTTCTTGCTTTTTAGATTTAGATGAGATGCTTTAAATTTGTATTTTTCTTTTGAATTTAAAATTGATTATTAGAAATTATATTCTTTTCATACTTACATAGGAAGATGACATTCGGAAGAGTCAGTGATGTGGGACAATTCATCCGGGAATCTGAGCCTGAACCTGATGTAAAGAAATCAAAAGGTTTGTGCTGTTTTTATACTTCATATTAAGCCTTTACTCACATTAGTCATTGATTATAAGTGAAGGATCATTTCAGATTTAAACTGTTTATTTTATAAATTAATTGCTATATTTCACCTGTATTTGTAGTCACAAGTGAGTATAAAGGCTTCATGTAATCACATCTCTCTCTATAGAGTCTTTTCTCTCTGAATCAAAAGTTATTTAACTTGCTTTACCATGCAGAAGACACATCTGTGTAAAAAAATACTCATCACCTTTTTATTTAATGATGAAAATACCCAGTCCAGGTTGGACTTGAGGTTTATCTTGAGACCCTTTATCTTATTAAATTTCCTCTGAATTGCTGAAAGTTGTTATGAAATGTATATGGAAATCATTAATAGGTGAAATTCAAATGCTTTGTTTAATTGACAGAAGAGTACTTGGTCAATTCCAGGAATCAAACACAAAAATCCTTTTTGTGACACAGTGCATGTTTTTGTAACTAATTTCAGCTTATGAACAATTGGTTTACACAGGAATACTTTGGAAATCAATGTGGATTTATTTAGATGATACCTAGAAATTTTTCAGTGTAATGGGACTGACAGTATTGTCTTGAGTAAAATTTACTACCTTTTATAAGAAGGAAATACTCCCTCTTGATGGGTGTTTATAATTTTCCTATTGAACTTAATAGTGCTGCATTCCTGTCATGTTTATCTTATTTTTTAATGCAACTGTTGTTGGGCTAATGAATCCTACCACTTTGGTTGATCAGCAGTCTCCTTTGGATTATATATACCTTGACAAAATATATAAAAAATGGAATTGTTAAAATAATTTAGACCAAGCCCCGACTGGTGTAGCTCAGTGGATTGAGCATGGGCTGCGAACCAAAGTGTCACAGTTTCGATTCCCAGTCAGGGTACATGCCTGGGTTGTAGGCCATGACCCCCAGCAACCGCACATTGATGTTTCTCTCTCTCTTTCTCCCTCCTTTCCCTCTCTAAAAGTAAATAAATAAAATCTTTTTAAAAAATAAAAAATAATTTAGACCAAAAAAAGGGTCTGTTACCTACTCGACCTCACTAGTTTATCCAAGTAATTGATTTTATTTACTGTTTTGTCAGAGAAAGAAGTCTGGGCCACACAGCTGGGGAAAATGTAAAGACTGAGAGAAGTTTACACAGTTAATGCAGTAAATAATTTTTGAGTGCCTCTGTGTACTCACATGCTCAGGGCAGGATAGAAAATATAGATCCTGCCATTAAGACACAGTTTTGTGTAGTGTCTTTCATTGGTTAAAAGGAGGAGGTCACTGGTAGCCTTGGAGCAAAAGAAGTACTAGACAGCCTCTTTGGGGGCTTGGCCAGGAAGCAGTCTACATGGTCAGTGGGGATGAACCTGACCATGTCAGGTAGAATCTCAGAGCTGTTAGTAGAATCTCAGAGCTGTATTAGTAGAATCTCAGAGCTGTTTTGTTTTTTTATTAAAGCGGATCTTATTCCTTTGACAGCTCATTAAGAATGTTACTGTTCCAGAGTCTGTATTGGTCTGGGTGTTTGCAGTTTGTTTTTGTTTTGTGTGAATTGAACTATATTATAAGTAAAGACATATAAGAACGTTTTCCCAAACCAATGTCTCTGCTCATTCTATTTAAGTCTCTTCATTTTATTTATTCATTCATTCTAAAATGTGAGTGCCTACTATATGCATCTACCATCCTAGGTATTGGGAAGAAAATAAAATTCTTGCTCTCAAGGAGCTTACATTACAGTGGAAAAGACAGTGAATAAACAAATGCCGTGTATGTGCATGCATTTATATAGTTAATGTAAACATGCAAGCAGGGTAAGTGACTGGGAGAGTAGTGGGGAGTGCTTTTTTAGCAGTGGTTGTCAGGAAAGGTCTCACTGAGGAAGTAGCATTTTGAGTAGCATCCCCAGCAAAACAGGGCAGTAAGTCTTGGCAGAAGGAACAAGAATAGAGTCCCTGAGGCTTCAGAGCTCAGCATGATCAAGGAAGAGCGCAACCAATGTTGCTAAAGAGGAGTGAAGAAAGGTGCTGTGGCTGAAGATGAGTAAGGCTGGGACTCAGAAGTGTAGGGGACACATTGCAAGTTGGACCAGGGAAGTAACAGGATGTAATTCATGTTTTGAAGCAGTGGCTGTAACAGATGTTTGGGAAATAGAGTCTAGGGGTTTAGGCTAAGAATCAGGAAAACAGCATTCTTGTCATGGTCTGTCTACGTAAGGGATGACAGGGGTGGCTGTGGATTAGGTATGGGAGAGTGGTTGTATTGGGGTTATATTTGAAGGTAGAGCCAACAGGATTATATCTCTCCCACAAGCCCATCTATCAAATTACCTGCATTATTAATTTGAGACATGCCTGTGTAAAAGAATGACTTTTTTTTTAAGATTTTATTTATTTTTAGAGAAAGGGGAAGGGAAGGAGAAAGAGAGAAACATCAGTGTGTGATTGCCTCTCGAGTGCCCCCCACCAGGGACCTGGCCTGCAACCCAGTCATGTGCCCTGACTAGAAATCAAACTAGCAACGTAATTCAGCACTCAATCCACTGAGCCACACCAGCCAGGGCTAAAGGAATGACTTTTGACTAAATAAATCTGTATATCCTGTACTTCCTCTAGTTGTCCAGATGTCTCTTTAAATCATGTACTTTTTTGGCAGGTAAATGACGTAATGTAGGGGCCTACAGATTCACTTCATTTACTCAGAAGTAATTTAAGTGATTCCTGTGTGCCGAACACTGTACTAAATGCCAAGGATACAAATAAGAGGATGTAGTCTCAGTTTGTTTTAATCCAGTTTACTCCCTTTGTTATGACACTGACTTGGTAAACCTGTAGTTATCCTATAAAATGCAGGGGTTTTGTCTCTTATTAGACATTGTGTTCCCTGATTCAAAAATTATGCCTGGCACATGGCAGGCACTCATTACATATTTGTTGATTGGATTAACCTAGAAGACTTTCAATAGAGATTACCTGGGTGGCAAGATTATGCATCATATTTATTTTAAGCAAAAAATAATTTTTTTAACTGTCATAGACACTAAAGATGATTAACTTGGGGATACTCACAGAGACTCATTTCCCCCTTCTCAGACCCAAAATAGTGGAGATTTTCTTAGCATTTTCAAGTTCATGCAAGTCTTCGATGGTACATCTGTGGATATCACCTCCTTATCCTATAAATGAAGAAGTTGAGGATGAGGGAAACTGTAATTTGTTAGGGATCACATGGCAGATTAATAGCAACCCAAGGGCTTTGGTTTTTGACAGTACTTGGCAGTCCAGCCTCACTTCTCCCTTCCTCTCCTTCCTTGCTGAGGGCTTCTGCAGAGAGTATCCATCAGTTGCCAGTCTACAGTTTCAGTTTGGGTTTTGAAACCCTGATAGAGCACAGAGAAAAAGATTGAGTTTTGAGAAGGGTGTGTCTCAGAGGCATCTGAGTGTGTGAGAACTTTGGTTGCAGGGCAAGCAAGGTAACTTTAAAAGTTACGTTCAAATCATCTAGGAGAAAGTGTAACAAGAGGGAATTGTAAAGGGTGTTGTGAGCATGAGATCCCTGTAGTGACTGTCCTCTAGTGTCTGGATGCAGTGGTAGGAGACGAAGCTGTACGTACATTGTCTAAGTACTTGCGTCTCATATTAAGAAACCTCCGTTCCTGTCATAGAGGTATCAGGGATTTCTAAGCAGAATACCGACCAGATGCATTTTTCTAACAGTAGTGTAGGAACGAATTGCAATTGAGGAGAGACTGGTATTAGAGAAATCAGTGGAATAGCAGAATTAGCTAGTGCTGTACATAGGGCGGGAAAAGAGGGTTTGAGGTAGGTAGTGGTAGAAGGAATTAGAAAGAATGTCAGATTAATAAAACTTCCAAGGGGGAATTTAGAGACTGCATCCAAGGTAGAACTTGGTGGCAGATTTCATATGGAGAGTAAATAACGAAGGTAAATAGAGAATTTAAAAATGGGTTCTCTGGATGAAAAATCATGTTAATTTTCAAGAGGATTAAATTAATTTCTGAGATAGAGGATAAGCTCCATTTGGAATATGTAAAGTTTAGGATGCCTTTAGGACAATTTGCAAATATGGGTTTGACACCCAAGGACAAGTTTTTGAGTGACTTGGATTTTAAAGGAAGTTAAAGCCACAGGAGGGGGTAAGACATCTCAAAGAAAATGTGTTGAGGGAGAAAAGAAGGATGGGAATGGGATCCTGGAGAAGCCTCATGTTAAAGGGAGAGAGAATACACAGAGAAGAGTCAAAGATGTGCATACTAAAAGAAAAGGGGAGGACTTCCATTCAAGATGGGAACATGTGGAAACACAGCTCACCTCCCACAACCACACCAAAATTACAAGTAAACTACAGATCGACCATTATTCAGAACCACCAGATATAGAGCTGAATGGAAGTTCTACAACTATGGAATTAAAGAAGAAACCACATCAAGACTGGTAGGAGTGGCAGAAATGTAAAGCAGGCTGGCCCCACACCCATGTGTGCCAGATAAAAATCAGAAGGGATTAACAGGACCAAGAGACTTCATTTCCACATCAGGCCCTCCAGCCCAGGGTTCTAGTGCCAGGAAGAGAAGTTGCCATAACTTCTGGAAAAAACCAGTGGTGAATGAGGCTACAGAAGACAAACTGCTAGAGTCCCTGGCAGTTCCTTTTAAAGGGCCCGTGCACAGACCTACTCAGACTCACTTTCTTTGAGCTCCAGCACAGGAGCAGCAGATTAAAAGGCACTGGAGTTATATGGAGAGGAACTGAAGTGTTTGGCATCAGAGTGAGAGCGGAGGGAGCAGCTTTCTCCCAGACAGAAGTACTGGCAGAGGCCACTGTTCCTTTTCTGAGCCCTACCCTGGTGATTCCCTGAGGCTCTGTCCTGCCCAACTTTTGGGCCCACCCCAGCTATTTCCCATGGCTTTTCCATGAAAATAACTTGTCTTGGCTCATGCTTCTGATTTTCTTAAAATGCTCTCAAACAAGCAGCATTTGGCCTCGCATGCCCTGTGTCTATTGTTAAGTGGCCCCAGGCTCAACACTATCAACAACTGGCCTTGGTTCATAGCTTGGACTTGCTTGGGCACCTCCAAGCCCAGCACAAGTAGTAGCCATCTATAGATTGCTTTGTAGCTTATATCAGGTGGCCCCAGACAAAACACAGGTGGTAGCTGACCTACCAGGATGCGCCACAGCCTTTGTATAGTGTGGACAGCTACAGACTGTGTTGGAGTACCATCACTTAACCATTTCCACAAGTGGTATGCTCAAGAGGTGGACTCAGTAGGACCAGAGCCCTGCTGAATTAAGTCTTGCTCTGTGGAATAGGCTTCTGCACAGATGATGCTCCACCGTGGTTGGAGGTTGGGGGTCGGTGCTCCAGTTAGTCTTTGTAGTTAATCAGCCTGATTAAATCTCTCCCATTGAAGTGCCAATAGCAATCAAGGCTCAACTACAAGAGGAAGGTAATACACAGCCCACAAAGTGGGCACACCTCAAGTACCCAGGTTGGGTGATAGGGGAAGCTGTGCCACTGGACTGTATGTGACACTTACTACATTAACCCACTCTTCCAAGCCAGGGAGTTGTAGTAGCTCTACCTAATACATAGAAATAAACTTTGGGAGGCTGACAAAATGAGGAGACAAAGAAACATGGCTCAAATGAAAGAACAGAACAAAACTCCAGAAGAGCTAAACAAAATGAAGATAATCTACTAGATGGAGAACTCAAAACACTGGTAATTAAGATGCTCAGTGAACTTCATGAGAACTTCAACAGCATAAAAAAAGGCATGGAAACCATAAAAAATAACCAATCAGATGAGGGATACACTAACTGAAATGAAGAATAATTTACAGGGAGGAAGCTGAAAATCAAATTAGTGATTTAGAGTATAAAGAAGCAAAGCACACCCAGTCAGAACAACAGGAAGAAAAAAGATCCAAAAAAAGGAGGATAGTGTAAGGAGCCTCTGGGACAACTTCAAGTGTATCAACATCTGCATCATGGTGGTGCCAGAAAAAGAGGGAAAGCAAGAAATTGAAAACCTATTTGAAAAAAATAATGATGGATAACTTCCCTGACTTGATAAAGGTAATAGACATACAAGTCCAAGAAGCACAGAGAGCCCCAAATGAACCCAAAGAGGCCCACACCAAAGCACATCATAATTAAAATGCCAAAGGTTAAAGACAGTACCTTAAAAGCAGCAAGAGAAAAGCAGTTGGTTACCTGCAAGGGAGCTCCCCTGAGACTGTCAGCTGATTTCTCAACAGAAACTTTGCATGCCAGAAGCGATCAGCCAGAAATATTCAAAGTGATGAAACACAAGGACCTGCAACCAAGATTACTCTACCCAGTAAAACTATCATGTAGAAATGAAGGACAGATAAAGAGCTTTCTGGACAAGAAAAAGCTAAAAGAGTTCACCACCACCAAACCAGTATTATATGAAATGTTAAAGGGTCTTCTTTATGAAGGAAAAAAAAAGATTAAAAATATGTACAATAAAATGGCAATAAATACATATCTATAGACAGCTGGATCTAAACAACAAAATAGGCAAACAAGCAGAACAGAAACATTCTTAGATACAGACAGTGTTTTGATGGCTGCCAGATGGGAGGGAGATGTAGTGGAGTGGGTGAAAAAAGTGAAGGGATTAAGAGATACAGATAGGTAGCTACAGAACAGTCATGGGGATGTAAAGTACAGCATAGCAAATATAGTAGTGAAAGGATATAGATGCATGCATGATCCATGGACATGCACAATGGTGTTAGAGTGAAGGGGGGTCTGGGTTGGGGGTGCCAAAGCAGAGGAAATTGGGACAACTGTAATAGCATAAACAATAAATTAAAATTAAACTTTTTTTAAAGAAAAGGAGAAGCAAAATGTGGGTATTAAGTGAAAAGGAGAGAGTATTAGCAAATAGGAGATCATCAAGTATGACTGACAGAGGAGAGCTTTGAGTAATTCTGTGGACATTTGAGACTTTAGGTAGATAGACTATAGGATGTTGGCTCTGTTGACTCTGCTTGGCCATAAAATTTAACCAGGCCAGTATTCAAACTTTTAGCTAGAAATTTAAAATATTAAGGGAAAGGGATCAGGTTTTGTATTTTTCATAAATGCTATGTATAGTTTTATCCCAGTCTTTGAATTAATCAGGAACTTGCCTAAGAAATAATCTACCAGCCACTTGGTTTAAGGCAAAGTTAGGACTTGAAGCTTATTTGCATTAATCAAAGGATAAGCTGTGTACTTCGTTCATGGAAATAGAGGTTAACCTACTGTCTTGGTGATTTTTTAGCATCTGAGTCCAGTTGTAGATAGGCTTATGTGTCTTCTAGGAAGTTAAGGTGTGCTGTGGCTTGGACAGAGTATGGCTATTTAAAACTCTGCTCTTACCCAGCTGATTTATATAACATGTCATAGCCTAATTTATACCTGAAGCTCTTTTATAAGTAGCTGCTCTGGAAGGTTTGATTATATAACAAGTAAATTGATGTTTCCTGAGGTATTCCTATATTTTTACCCAAAATTTAATCCAAGTCTTGGTTTTGTTTTTGATTTTAGTTTGCCGCAAATCTACCACTAGATGATAGTTTCTTTTATGAAGTAAAGAAAAATCCAGAAATCAGAAACAGCTTTTCAAAGGTTTTTCAAGTTTCTATTGATCGTAATATTCCTTACTGTTTGAGGAGATGGTATAAAAAAAAAAAGAAAGTCTATGTCTGGAAGTAGCTTGTAAGTAAGAACATTTTTAATGTAAAATTATGCATGAAGTCTACATTCAACTTTGGCTTTGTTTACTAGGATCCATGTTCTCACAAGCTATGAAGAAATGGGTGCAAGGAAATACTGATGAGGTAAATTCTACTTTTAGTGTAAAGAGATTGCTGTTTTTAAGTGCACCTTGTCTAACTAAGGTTTCAAGATTTCTCTTTAGTCGTATGTTGAAGCAGCTTGGCACATTGTTACTCCCTTATCCAGGATATAAGAAGGGGGAGCCCTTCTTAACATCTATTAATTACCTTTGGAGGCAGTGGAGGTATCTTCAGCCCAGAGATTCTGGCCACTGAAAAATAACCATGCCTTCAAGTTTACCTCAACCAGCAGGCATCAGTAATCATTAAAGAAACAAAAACTCAACATTACTAAAGAAATCAGTAATCATTAAAGAATCAAAGGTTTCCCTTCTGTCATTCAAAAAGTCTTCCTTATTGAACAGTTAAATGCATTGAGAGATGAGTGGAGGGGAAAAAATTGTTTTGACCATCTAACATGAAAATTGTGTGATGTTGGGTACCCAGTGGCCAACTTTGGAAAACAAGAGTGTGTTAATATTTCCTAGCTGAGGGTGGCCTGAGTTCTTTCATACATGGCCACGTGCTTAACTAAGTGAGTAGAAATGATATGCATATACAGCTGTCTTTAGAGCACTGGTAATATATGTGTTGATTTTTCTAATGAACAACTGTTATCACCAGTTTCAATTACTTCTTTTAGGCTCAAGAAGAGCTAGCTTGGAAGATTGCTAAAATGATTGTTAGTGATGTTATGCAGCAGGCCCAATGTGATCAACCATTAGAGAAGTCTACAAAGGTAAGAATGACTTGTGTTCTGATATAGCTTGTTTAAAACTGACAAGAATTGGATTCCAGATATATAAAAACAAACAAAAAAAAGACATAAGAGAGTTTATGCTTCTGCCTTTGAAGGCTTAACTACTATAGGAATTACCCTCTCATCCTAAACAACTAGAAAACTGACAAACTAAAGGAAATAACCATTTCCAGTTACCAGGCAGTAGAGGGCTGAAATCCATTAAAACAAGGGTAGCATTGAGATGATCCATAGCTCACTGATGAGAAGCAATTTCCAAAACAGGTAGGGGAAAGCTTAAGAGAGCTCATAGTCTTGCCAAATTGAGAAGTCAGAAATCGACGTTTAGGGAAGCCCAAGCCAAGGTGGCTAAAAGTCATAGAACAGGGTCCCAGAAAAGATGCTGCATGGAAAGAGAGCTCCAAAGGTGATTAGCGAGGTCCCTTCAAGTTTTGGGCACATATGTTGGGTGAAATGTCCATGGCCAGGGAAAGAATACTGGAAATTAGTGGGCTGAATAATTTCTGGAATATGAGGTTAGGATAGGTCATGTTTCTACTTGCCAGTGTGAACAGATCTGGTAATAACACAAGGCATGCGTAGTTCTTACTACTGGGCAAGCCTTACTACTAGAGCTATAGTAGCCCTAGAATAAAGCACCTTAACCAAGCTATAAAAGCAGTTTTGGGAAGAATCAAACTGCTCTGTAGGTAACAACTGCATGCCAGAACAAAGGACAACCCTCCTTAAATGAACAACAAAATTCAGCACTTGACTGTAAAAATACAATGTTTGATGTCCCATCAAAAATTACCTGGCATGCAACGAAGCAGAAAAACATGGCTCATAATCAGGAGAAAACAAACTCTAAAAAATACTAAATGGAAAAAAAACTCTGATAAAAGGAGGAAAGGAAGGGATCAATGGACAAACAAAAGTCAAATAGCAAAATGGTAGATTTAAACCAAATCATATTAACAATTGCATTAAACACAAATGATTTAAATAGTCTAGTTGAAACATGGAAATTGTCAGATTGGATAAAGCAGAACCCAGTTATATGTGGTTCACTTCTGAATAGCCCAGATTTGAACTGCATAGGTCCATGTGTATACACAGTGTTTTCCATTCACTGAAGTTCAGTTGATCCATGCAATTTAAACCCATGTTGTTTAAGGGCTAACTGGCAGTTGGAAATTCGTGTATGCAGAGGGCTGACTTAAGTCAGATGCCAATTTTCAGCTACACAAGCAGTCGTGGCTGCTAACCCCAGCTTCATTTAGTGGTTAACTCGTACTATCAGGAACACATTAAATATAAAGATACAGGTTAAAAATAAAGGGATGGAAAAGATATATCATGTAAAAACTATAATATAGATAGCAACATTACTATAAGTCAGAGTAAACTTCAAAAAATAAGGAATGTTATCGAGCACAAACAAGGACATTATATATGATAAAAAGATCAGTTCCTCAAGGATCTAAATGACATTTTTAAAACAATGCATCCAGCAACAGTAGAATATACATTTTTTTGGTGTGCAGTTGGAACATTCACCAAGGTATACAATATTCTGGGCCATAAAACAAGTTTCAATAAATTTAAAGCATTTAAGTCATACGGTTGTTCTCTGACCACAAAGGACTTAAACAGGAAATCAATAACAGAAGGATTATGTGGAAAATCCCCAAATATTTCAGAATTAAACAGCATACCTCCAAGGTAACTCATTAGCCAACGAAGAAATCAAAAAGGAAGTTGAAAAATATTTTGGACTGAATTAAAATGAAAATAAAACATAGTATTTTGGGGATAGTGCTAAAGCTTACAGGGAAATTTATAGCATGAGATACACTAGACAAGAAAAAAAGTCGCAGTCTATTTTAAGAAACTAGGAAATGAGAGGAATCTGATCAAGATGGCAGCATAGGTAAACATGGTACTCGCCTCCTCCAACAACCACATCAAAATTAAAACTAAACTACAGAACAATCATCATTCAGAACCACCTGAAATCAAACTGAATGGAAGTCCTACAAGTAGGGAATTGAAGAAAAAGCCACATCAAGACTGGTAGGAGGGGTGAACATGTAACAAACTGGTCCTATACCACATATGGTGGGTAAAAATCAGGAGGGGTATCTTAGCTGCAGATGTCCCCTGAGGAGGGAGCATTGCCAGCTTCACACCAAGCCCCACAGCCCAGGATTCCAGAGATAGGAAGAGAAGTCCCAATAACTTCTGGCTTGAGGCTGAGTGAGATGGAAACTTGTGTAGTCGCAGGCAGTTCCTCTTAAAGGGCACACACATGAGACTCACTCCCTCTGAGCTCCAGCGGCAGGGGAATTGGGGGTGGGGGACAGCAGCTTAAAAGGCACTAGAGGCATATGGGGAAGAACTGAGTTGTCCAGCATCAGAGTGAGAGCTATGGGTCAGCTTTCTCCCAGACAGAAGTGCTGGCAGAGGCCACTGCTGCTCTGATGAGCCCTCCCTGCACATAGCCAGCAGGTAGGCACCATATCCGATGAGATTCCATCAACCTGGCTCACATTTTTGGCCCCACCCTGGTGATTCCCTCAGACCTCATCCTGCCCAACATTTTAAATTCACTTTAACTTTATTATTTTTTATTTATTTTTTTATTTTCTGTCATTTTTTCAATTATAGTTGATATACATTATTAGTTACAGATGTACACATCAGTGATTAGACATGAAATAACTTGCTAACTGCTCATCCCTATAAATCTTGCACCCAACTGACACTGTACATAGCTATTAGAATATTATTAACTATTCCCTGACTGTACTGTACATGCCCATGGGTATCCTGTAACAACCAATTTGTACTTCTTAATCCCTTCACTTTTTTTATCCATCCTCCCACCCTGTCTCCCATCTGGCAACTGTCAAGAAGTTCTCTATCTGTGAGTCTGTTCCTTTTTTGCTTGTTTGTTTATTTTATTGTTTAGATGCAGCTGTCAATAGATATGTATTTATTGCCATTTTATTGTACATATTTTTAATCTTTTTTTTTCCTTCATAAAGAAGACCCTTTAACATTTCATATAATACTGGTTTGGTGGTGGTGAACTCTTTTAGCTTTTTCTTGTCCAGAAAGCTCTTTATCTGTCCTTCATTTCTACATGATAGTTTTACTGGGTAGAGTAATCTTGGTTGCAGGTCCTTGTGTTTCATCACTTTGAATATTTCTGGCTGATCGCTTCTGGCATGCAAAGTTTCTGTTGAGAAATCAGCTGACAGTCTTAGGGGAGCTCCCTTGCAGGTAACCAACTGCTTTTCTCTTGCTGCTTTTAAGATTCTCTCTTTGCCTTGCTTGGTGTGGCTGAATGGTTTGGGCACCGACCTGTAAATCAAAAGGTCACTGGCTTGACTCCTGGTCAGGGCACATGCCTGGGTTGCAGGCCAGGTCCCCAGGTGGGGGTGTGGGAGAGGCATCTGATCTATGTATCTCTCACACATTGATGTTTCTCTCCCTCTTTCCCTCCTTTCCCCTCTCACTAAAAATAAATAAAATAAAGATTCTGTCTTTAACCTTTGCCATTTTAATAATGATGTGTCGTGGTGTGGGCCTCTTTTTTTCAAATAGGTTTTCAATTTCTTGCTCACTTTCCTTTTTCTGGCACCCCTATGATGCAAATGTTGATATGCTTTCAATTGTTCCAGAAGTTCCTTAGTTCCTTACACTGTTCTCTCTCTCCCTCCCTCCCCGTCCCTCCCTATCTCTCTCCCTCCCCCTCCCTCCCTCTCTCTCTTTGCAGTCTTTTTCTCTTTCCTATTCTAATTGGGCATTTTGGCTTTCTTATATTCCAGATCACTGATTTGATTCTTGACTTCATCTATTCTACTGTTGATTCCCTGTAAATTATTCTTCATTTCAGTTAGTGTATCCTTCATTTCTGATTGTAACTGTTTTAGGCTATTGAGATTCTCACTAAGTTCATTAAGCATCCTTACAACCATGTTTGAACTCTGGCTCTAGTAGACTGCTTATCTCCATTTTGTTCTTTTTATGGAGTTTTTTCTTCTGTTGTTTCATTTAGAACATGTTTATTTCTCTCTTAATTTTGGCAGCCTCCCAAATACATTTCTATGTATTAGTAGAGCTGCTATATCTCCCTGGCTTGGTAGAGTAGCATAGTAAAGTAGGTTTTCTCTGGAGTCCAGTGGCACAGCCTCCCTATTCACCTAAGCTGAGCACTTGAGGTTCACCCTCACCCTGTGTGGGCTGGGTATACTCTCCTCTTGCATTTGATCCATGACTGCAGTAGGCATATCAATGGGCAGGATTTACCCCCAGGCCGTTAAGCTATAAAGACTGCTTGAGACCACTGACCATCATGGAGGGTTACCTCTGCAGAGCAAAATTTCCTTCAGCAGGGCTCTGATGTCTGCTCAGTCTGTGCTTGAGTGTGTTGCTTGTGGAGGTGGTTGGGTGGTGATGCTTTGATGTGACCTGAAGCTGTCCACTGGCTGCACTGGCTCTGGGGCCTCCTGGGAGGTGCAAGCCAAGGTCAGACACTACCTGTGTTCTGTCCCGGACCACCTGGCATGAGCTACAAAGTGATCTGCAGGTGGCTGCTACTTAACTGGGCTTGGAGGTGCTTTGGCGAGTCTAAGCTGTGAGCCAAGGCCAGCTGCTGCTAGTGCTGGGCCTGGGGCCACTTAGTGAAATTGTATGGGGCTCACTAAAGTCAGATGCCTCTTGTTTGAGAGATTTTAGGAAAATCTGAAACATGAGCCAAGAAAGGCCATTCATAAAGAAAAGCTTTTGTAGATAGCTGGGCCCCTAAGTTGGGTGGGGTAGGGCCTCAGATGATAACCATGGCTGAGAGAACAGTGTAAGCCAGGTTGATGGACTCTGAGATATAGCACCCACCTGCTGGCTCTGGGGGCAGGGCTTATCAAAGGAACAGTGGCCTTTGCCAGCACTTTTGTCTGTGAGAAAGCTGTTCCTCCAGTTCTTGCCCTGATGCCATTCAGTGCCTCCTCGTATGTCCTGGTGCTTTTTCGGCTGCTGCCCCAGTGCTTGAGCTTAGAGGGAGTGAGTTGGACTAAGTCTGCAGGTGGGATTTTTTAGAGGAATTGCCCGGAAATCCAGAGCCCTCTGATTCCCTCCTTCTGATTTCCTGCTGGTTTTTACAGCCAGATGTAATGGGGACTTCTCTTCCTGGTTCTGGAACCCTGGGCTGGGTAGCCTGGTGTGGGGCTTGGATCCCCTGCTCCTCTGGGGGACCTCAGCAACCAAGATAACTCCCCCCTGCATTTACCTGCCACATGTCAGTGTGGGACCAGCCAGTTTTGCATCTTCACCCCTCCTGCCAGTCTCAGTTTGACTTTATTCAATTCCTTAGTAGTATGGCTTCCATTCAGTATGGCCATTCCAAATGATGGTTTTGTGTAGTTTAGTTGTCATTTTGTTGTGATTGTTGGAGCAGGCAAGTACTGCGTTTACCTACTCCATCTTGCCTGGAAGTCTTGGCAAAGATATCTTAGTTCACACAAAGCACGAGACAAAAAAAAAAATTGATAAACTGAATTTTATCAAAAATAAAAATTGCTCATCAAAAGACATTGTGAAGAAAATGAAAAGGGAAATTATGAAGTGGGAGAAGATATCTGCAGATCATCTTTCTGATAAAGGAGTTGTATCCAGAATATATAAAGAGCTCAAACTCATTAAGAACAGTAATCCGATGGTTTTTAAATGGTCAGAAAATATGAACAGACATTACATAAAGAAGATAGACACATGGCAAATATTCATATGCAGAGAGTTCAACATCAGTAGTCATTAACCAGGAGCACAGTGGTACACAGCTGCATACAAACAGAATGACTAAAATTAAAAGGACTGACAGTACCATGTGTTTGCAAGGATGTAAAGCAATTGAACTCTAATACATTACTAGTGGGAATGCAAAATGCTACAGCTACACCATTGGCAGTTTCTTAAAAAGTGAAACAAACTAGCCAGGTTTCTTTAGGAAACTGAGTTCTTTCTTTTTGGCCTGATCATATTATATTCTCCAGAGAAAACTTTACCAGTCTCTTTTATATCTTGCTCCTTATTCTGCCTGGCAGATAAAGACTAGGCTACCAATGTTCTAGGAGCCAAGGGGAAAGAAAGCTAGTGAAGTCTCTGGAGTCATTATATGGACCCCTCCTTAATCCCCTCTTTTCATTTTAGTAGCACCCTTGTCCTTGATCACACCTCATGTATCTTAGCCCAAAGACCCTATTTTTAAACTGCTTAGAGAAGCATTCTCAGATTCTTCTGCTTGGGCTGGTTTTCAGGCTGTGCAGTCACCTCGCTGATCAGAGCTGCAGAACAGTAACTGCAGATTGTTCATTTCTAAAGATGGGCATTTAAGAAATTCTTACATTTGTTCCCACTAGTCCCTTTTCCACAGGTACTGGTGACAACAATTCCCAGGTTCTGGGGCTCTGCATTGGCAAGCAGGGTGCTTTGTAGCTTTTTCCACTTCACTCTGGGATTGAGGTTTCATTTCATGCATCTTCTAAGTGACTTCCATTCATCCAATATCCCTCTTCTTTCAGGTTTTTCATTTGTGTGAATTTGTGGGTTTATTGATAATGCCATTTTACGACAGAATGAGCGTGATGAGATCACCACCCTTACCTGGAGTTCAATAGCTACAGTTGTTAGGAGTGTCTGACTTGACACAAGCTAATAATACTCTGTCTAGAGCTTCACCCTCTACTTCTAGTTTTACCCACAAGAGCCACACAAATAGTGGTTAGAAAATTAAAGGCAGCTACTTAATCCCGTCCCAGAGTTTTCTTCAAGCCAAACATTCCCAGTTCCTTCAACAGGCTTACTTTCTCTAACTTGAATTGATTCACAAAGACTTAATGTGATAGGAGAATTTCTGTTCTTGTTTTTTTGAAGTCATTAAATTCCTCAGTCATTTACATTAGCCAACGCTTAGGAATCAGAGTTAAATATGCTCAAATAGCACCCTATATAATATAACCCTCAGTAGTTTCAAAGACTTGAATTTAGATTTAGGTCCAATATGACCCTTTTCTTGTTAACATTCTAGCCAGCTTTTCACTTGAAGACCTGTTGTTACCAGAGCTTGGTTTAATTTTTTTTTAATTTTATATTTTTCAATTATAGTTGATATACTAAGCTTGGTTTAATTTTGATCTTTTTACCGAACTGATTCTTACTAAAGCTCTTGTTCAGTTTTGCAGACTTGGTTTTCTTTTCTATGTAAGGGTGATAATTTTGCCTATATTTAGCTTTATTGGGTCAAACCTAAAATAGCAAAGGGCAAGTTAAAGGTGTTTTAAGAAGTGCAAGGTTTATTTGTGATCCCCCATATCATGTTGATGGTCAAATGTTTGAGAATATGAAGTGTTTTTTTAGAAACCATGTTGGAAAGCAGGTGTTTAAAATTAGCCTTTTTGTTTGAGGTGTATGTTCAGATTTTATTACCTTGTGCTTTTCACTTTGGGATATACAGATATATTTTGCAATATTTTGTGTTTTTTTAAATCTTGCCAGGCCTTCTCTTTGGCTGGCCAGGATGGATGTTTGTCTGGCATGTCCTTGAGGGCCCAGTCGTTTACTAGTATGGAAAAAGCATTAGGCTAGCAGAATTCATTTAGTCCATTTTCAGTCAATATGTGTGACCCCTTACAAGTTATTTTCCTTCTCCAGTCTCTTGTTTTCTCATCAATAGATCAGAGAAATTGGAGAAGAAAATCTCCTAAGACCCCCTTCTAATTCTCATACTATGATTTTATGAGTGTGAGAAGTCCTACATCCATAAAGGAATGATCAGCCTCTTTATTCTATACCTCTCTGCTTTGAATCTCCTACTCCACTTTTGCCTATAGACTGTACTTGGCATTTAATGTAAACTGCCTGCCAGCATTACTGAACTGTTCCATGTGTATATGTCCCATCTCACAAATAAGAAAGACCAACTCATCTGTGATGTTTCCTCCCCAGTGCTGTGAGTAAACAGGGACTGTCTACAAGCTTGGTCTTTTTTTCTTCCTAAGGCATTTGACTCTTTCATATCATGGCTCTTTTTTTATTTAGTGAGTCCCCTGTGGATGGTCATTTAGGTTGCTTTGTACTTTTTCCCTGTTACAAACAATACTTTAATGAATGTGTATGTAAGTCTGTGCCCCCTGTTTTGAGTGTGCTGTTGGGTTAATTCCAAGAAGCAGCAATATTCTATCAAAAAGCAGATATTTTGCCCTGGTCAGGTGGCTCAGTTGGTTGGAGTGATGTCCTGTAAACTGAAAGGTTGTGGGTTTGATCCCCAGTTGGGATGTGCATGGGAAGCAATCAATCGATGTTTCTCTCTTTCTCTCTCCCTTCTCTCTGTAAGAGTGATGAAAAAAAATACATCCTTGGGTAAAGATTAAAAAAATGAAAGTGGATATTTTGCTCTAATATATATTGCAAAAATAGAGAGATTAAAGCATCATTGGGTGCCAGTCCTTCATATGTAACCTTGGGGTGAGTTGCTTGACCTCTTGAAGCTTCCATTCACACATTTGTAAATAAAGATAATAGTGGTATTTTACTTTACACATTGTTGTCAGTGCTGGCATATAGTAAACATTTACACAGTGTTGGTTCCCTTCTTTAATCTGTAACATCGTGTATAACTGGTATAGAAATGTACCTTAACTTTTTCTTTTTCTTTTTTTCAGCTATGACTCAATACCTGAGATAAAGGAAATCTGCTTTTGAAAAATAAGAGAATGTTTTTCCTTTGGTTGGATTCTTAACACAGCCAGTGAAAACAAAGCACTGTATTTCTTTTCTCTGATTTATCAACTGTTGTTCCCAAGAAAGAATGGCAGACAATCCTAGACTTCCACCATAAACAGAGTGACATGTAGACATATTTGCTGCACATCATGATCACAAGTGACAGTCATAAAGAGACAAAGTGGTATTGTTTACATTATAGAAGATTGGTAGTTTTCCAATGGCAATAACCCACTTACAGGAGAGTTTTAGTCACTAGAACAGACAGGGACCACATACTGTGGCAGGCACACAAGCATAGCACTGGTATTTGATGCACATCCCGTAGTGATAACCAGTCCTTAACAGCACCATAAAGCAGGTACCCAAGGGGCTTTGCTTTGGCCTCTTGAAATGAATGGGAGTGAGCCCCTCTGAGAGCCAGGTGGCTCCGAGTGGCAGTGCGGTGCCAGCAGATGTTTCCTTCCATGCATTGGGGCGGAAGATCATTGTATAGGCTGCCTTCACAGAGGCATTGATTTGGAAGAAATTTATAATGTCACAGGTCAGGTCTCAGTGACATGGTCCTTCCTTTTGCTGGCAGTATACAATTCTCACATCTTAACTGCTCCTGAGATGCCATGTACTTAAAGCCAGTCTTCCCCTGGTAACCATAGGGTGCATCGGCTTGATTTTGAGCATTAGGACTTGCTCCTCTGGAATTCTGTGCTCAGTTTACGTAACTTTCCCTTCAGGATACATGTGGAAAGGAGTAAATAATAATGATCACTCCATTGTCCCTGCTGTGGGGCCTGGGACAAAATGTTTATTCCCAAATTGTGTGAGGAAGGGGAACAGGCAGAGGTTGAGGGGAGGAAAAGCAGTCAGTTTTGACTGCCTCCCCTTTCTTTGCTCTGAGCTGGGAAGTATGCAGTTATGGTCTTTTTCCTGTCTGTCTTCAGAAGAGGGAGAGTCTGCCCATTGCACTCAGGCTCGGTCGGCTTCGGGTCTGGACTGCGCCTCAGTCAGCAGGGTGCCCCACAGCAGACATGCTCCACTGGCTGGGTGAGGCCAACACTTCCACACCATATGTGGCTGTTGGAGGGGAAAGAATGTTGTCTTAGGTGTCACTGCTTTATGCTCAGACTTTGCAAAAAATATATACATATATTTAATTATTAGTCACCTCTGTCCTTGGGGAAGTCTCGAATGAATAGAGAATTTATTCCTTTGCAATATTTGACTGTGTAGAGAGAGGCACACTGTTTCATCCACAGAAGAAGCAAAAAGGCTGTGTGTAAGTTTTTGGTACTATGTACCACCTCTGTTATTCTTCTAAAGCTGAAGTATTAATGTACTTAAATCATACTCTATTTAATTGTGTTTGATTTTAAATATATATATATGAATTATATTTAAAATTGTGTCAACTTTTCTGCTTTCAGGGCATTTATAGCTCTTCTATTAAAATGTGTTAATTCTTCCAAACATTTCCATTTGCTTTACAAAAGACCCAGAACATAAGCCACTGCTGGACTCAGCCTTGTGTTTGGAGCATATGGTGTAGACCTGAGGTGTTATGAGGAGTATAAAATGTGGTTTCGAGTGACCCTTGCTGTCTCTGTCTCTGCATGCTTTGGAATAACAATTTCTGTGAAGCTCTAGGCTATTTAAATTAGTGCTTTCAGTTAAGGTATTATTTAGTCATTTCTTTGTATACATTTTGTGCTTTTGAGCTAGAGATATCAGTAGTTGTAGGGTTCTTCTAAGAAGAAGAACAGCAAGCTTGAGACTCAGTTTTTTCATACCCTCCTGCTATGGGACATAGAAGCAGAATGTGTCCTGAAATACCAGCTAGATGTAATATTTGATCTAAAGTAGATCCTTGTACTTATTTTCCATTGGAATTGGACTCACCTAACATGGATCACCCCGTGTTCCAAGCTCTGTGCAGTGTGCCCACAAATTATGACTCCCTGACGGGATGCTTTTAGGTTCAAGGAATTAGTTGGCTGACTGTCCATCCCTATTATGTTGTTGAGATCAACACAAGTTGTTAGACAAAATGTTAGTGGGAAAATGGTACCTTTTGTAAGTCAATGTATGTCTGTCACTCCTATAAGATTTAATGAAAGTAAAGCACAAATGAGAGCCAAGTCCAGCAAAGAGCAATGAAACAGGAAGCAGTGTTTTCTGTTTCTATTTGGCTGCAATTTTCAGTAGAGGTTTATGGAATGTGAGTAATTTATTGTGCTGGAACTTTGATTAAACAGGAATTTGGAGGGGAGGTCACTCTGAATTGTAGAAAATTACACGTGCAGCTGTTTAAGTACTGGTAGCTAATAAGCACCTAAGTGGCTGGCCTCTCTTTCATGACAGTCAGGGTACCTGCCTGACTCACATGGGCCCCACCCTCCCCTTCCCATGTACCCGTTAATTGAACCCCAGGTTGAACTCCTGATCCAAACAGGCCCAAGAAAATTCTTCATCTTAAGAATTTTGCAGGGCACACGAGGGATACCAGCCAACATTTCACAAAGTTGGAACCTGGAGGCACAAGCAGAGGGTTAGACATGGAAATGCAGAGAGGGCATTGGTCTGAGGAAGCAGTGCCTTGGGCGCTTGAGGACTCAGCTGATTTGTGAACTGAGTCACACACCCTTGTTGAGGACACCATGAGCCCCTTGGGTAGCCCTAGAATGAATTTTGGCTTTTTGAAACTCAGTCTAAAGTGAGTTTATATTATCTGCACTCAGAAGGCCCTTGATTAAAATACTACCAGACTGCTCCAGTTACTAATGACTAGGTCTGCTTACTGTGTTTGCCATGTGCCACAGGATTCTGGAGAACATTTCTTTAGTAAACCTTCCTTGGTCATTTTGTATATTCTCTCAAGGTGAAATTCTAAACTAATGGAAATAAAAAGACATTTCCTTGTCTTTACATGGAGGAGCTACTGAGGCCCAGGAGAAGGGCCAGTCCCTGTCCTGTTGCAGAAGGGTCCCCATTAGCATTCAGGCCTCCTGTAACAGGGCCTTCCCGTGCATCCCACTCTCCTGAAGGACACGCCATCCCACTTCTGGCACCTGTAATAGACCCAGAAATTAGAGGGCCTTTCCCTTAATGAGTAACTAATGTGAACTTAAAACGATGGAGGGCAGTAATTACTATAAAGTTTGTAAGTGTTGGGCATGTCTTTGTGCTGGGCAAGGTCTCTGACCAGCCACTGGTTGAGGGAAAGTAAGTCCCAGCAAAACCCTCCAAGTTACAACTCAGCAGAGGCCCCAGGAGTCCCTCTCTGAAGCCTGTTAACAGAGATCACTGTGGGCCCACAGGAAGCTCCACTTGGGCAGCACTGTGATGGGCCCAGACTAGGCAGTGTGGGACCATGGGTTTCATGGAAGGCACTGGGGGGACCGTTGTTAGCAAAGGTCCAGAGGGCATTTGTGTTAAGGCAGAAGCCTATATGCTTGCCTGTCACACAAGGTGGTGAGTATTTCTGCCTTAGTAATTTTATGCCAACATATGCTCAGTCTGTTACCTTCCAGCTTCCTACTCGGGCACAGTCATGGTGTCAGAACTCACATAGGATAGGCCAGCCCGTTGCCTCAGGGCAATAGTGCATCCAACCCCTCAGCCACTGCTGGGGTGCCCATGATTGCTTCTTCGTTGTACCCTGAGTAGCACTTGGGAGCACAGGCTGTGCAGCTGGGCCCTCTGGACCTAGCCTGTGTGTGGGGTGAGGCGGGGAGGGTCCCTAAAAAGTGAGCTTAAGTTCAACTTGAAGGAGCTGGGATTTGCCAAGAAGTAAGTGCCCTATCCTGACTTTACCTCTAGGCTCAGCCCTCAGTGACTCCCAGCTGGCCTTTGCCTCTGTCACAGTAAGAATCCCACGTGTTGTAACCTCATGGAAGCGGCTCTGGCTGAATAGTGCGTGGGGCCTCCAGACAGCTTTGTGGGCTCAGCAAAGTCCAGCCAGCTCCTCCCAAACCTTAGGTTTGGCAGGGAGTAGCCTGTGTTCCTTCCGATTACAGAACTGGTTTAGCAAATGTTCACCCACTCAGAAATACTTATGCCTACTACATGCCAGACACTGGTTCAGGGACACAGGAAGGGATAAAAGGAACTCTGGGCCCTTTGGAGCTTCCATTCTACTGAGGAGGAGATGAAGTCTGAAGTTTTATCAAAAATGTGTGCTGGTGGTTTTGACTCAAGATGACCTCTTGAGCCTGTAATCCAGCACCCTTTCCTTACCAAGTCCTGCTGGAAGTCACCAGGCTTTTCCAAGCCCATAGGGAGACCCTTAGGGAGGGGTTCCTCCTGTGACCTTTTACCTTTTCTCGAGCCTCCAGAGGCCCTGGAGGGCCATTGCTTTGCCATTCCATGTGCCCACTGCAAGAGTAGGCACTCAAGTGTCCAGCACCTCATTGACAATAAGGGGTAGGCACCCTGTTGTCCAAGGCTGGATAGGGTAAGTCACTCTGAATAGCATAAAGCCTTAGAGGAGGCCACAGGATCAATCTCAGCCCTGTGGGGCTCGGCAGAGTTTTGGGAAATGTGACTTCTTGGGAACTAGAAATAAAACTAATATGAAGTTAATTCTCTGCATGTGATACAAAATCCTGACCTTGGAAAGACCCTAGCCAGCCATTGAGCTCATTACCTGAGGTGCCTGGCTCCTTCTGAGTTCTGCTTTAATGAGAATAATGGTAACCAGCAGAGCAAAGTATGTCCTGTGTGTCAGGCCCTACTTCATTTGATCTGTAAAGGAATTTCTTCAGCGCCCACATCCAGGAGTCCAGTGCTGGCAGTGAGACCACCCTCTTCCTCACCACCCAGTGTCCTGCAGACCTGCAGCTCTTGTTCCACGGAAGACAGCTATAGCGTATGTCAAAGGGTCAAGACAAATTTAGGAGATTGTGACTTTAAACACATCCCTCTTTCCCTCTGGTAACCACCATATTGTTGTGTATGAGTTTTTGTCTTGTTTTTTCATTTGTTGCTTTTAGTTGTATATCTCACATGAGTGAAGTCATACGGTTCTTGACTTTTTGTCTGACTTATTTTGCTTAGTATGATATTCTCAAGATCCATCCATGTTGTCACAAATGGCAGTATTTCATCCTTGTGGCTAAGTAGTATTCCATTGTGTGTATGCAATCACATTTTTATCCAATCCTCTATTGAAGGACACTTACTACCATTTCTTGGCCACCGTGAAGAATGCTGCAGTGAACATAGGGGGACATATATCTTTGCAAATAAATGTTTTCAAAGTTTTCAGGTACATACCCAAAAGAAGGTTGCTGGGTCATAAGGATGGTAACTCTGTACTTAATTTTTTGAGGAACTGCCACACTCTTTTCCATAGTGGAAAACTGTCTACATTCCCACCAGTAGAGAATGAGAGTTCTTTTTCTCCAAAACCTCTCCAACACCTGTTAATTGTCTTGTCAATAATAGCCATTCTAACAGGTGTGAGGTAGCATCTCATTGTGATTTTGATTCGCATTTCCCTAAGAGCTAATGAAGTTGGTTATCTTTTATATATCTGTTGGCCATTTGTTTATTTTCTTGAGAGAAGTGTCTGTTCGGGTCCTCTATCCGTTTTTTAATTGGATTGTTTGTTTGCTGTTACATGAGCTCCTTATATATTTTGGATACTAACCCCTTACTGCTGTGTGCAAACATCTTCTCAAATTTGGTCAATTATCTTTTTGTTTTGTGGACAGTTACTTTTGCTGTGCAGAAGTTGTTTAGTTTGGTATAGTTCCATTTATTTATTTTTGCCTTCGCTTCCCTTGCCTTTGGTGTCAAATTTATAAAATCCTCTTTAGGACCAAAGTCCATGAATTTAGTAACTATGTAAAGGGTAAAGGGAGTAAAATGTGACAGAAAGAGATTTGACTTTCATTGGTAAATACACAATGCAGTATACAGATGACGCAGCATAGAATTGTATGTACACACACAAAATTAAACACATCCCATCCATTACCGTAAGGCGGTACTTAAACTTTCACATGCATCAGGATCCCCTGGAGAACTTGTTAAAACATGGATTGCTAAGCCTAACCCCCTGAGTTTTAGTAGGGGTTAGTTGGTCTGGGGTTGAGCCTGAGAGTTTGCATTTTTAACAGGCTCCCCGATAATGCCACTGCTGCTCTGGAGACCACACTTGAGAATCACTGCCTTAAAATCTGTAAATACGGAAATACATGTTTTCATTCCTTTTTATTGGAAAAGCCCCTGTTTTACAGATGTGTAATTTGAGACCTGTTACTCATGGTTCACTCAAACAAGTACATAAATTCATTATTAGTATTTAGATGTTTATCAAAGCCAAGAGCACCCCAACTGTCTCTGTCACCAGGCAGGTCCGAGTCCACAGAGGTAGGTCTCTCCCCTGGAGTAAGGCTTTGAAGAGGCCACTGATGGGTCTCAGCCCTGCGGTCCTCAGCTCCCCTGACCCCAGTGCCTTCGCTGGA